AGATGATTTTAACAAGGATAATGACAGATGCACAAACTCAATTTATGTGGTCAGGCGCGTACGCTGGGGGGGGGGGGGGGTATGTGTATGTTTTGGGTATTTTTTTTGGAAACCCTCCCCACTTTTGATTTTGATTTTCTTTTTAAATTTAAACAACAACAACAACAAAAATATTAAAAATATGCCAATGGCTGACCTAAAAAAGGTGACCTTACCCCCCCCCCCCCCCCGCCACAAATAAATAAAGACGGAAGGGAAAGGGACAGAGGAGGGCTCAAAGGGAACAAAAAAGAGGAAACAGAAAAGATAAGGGTGAAAAGAAGGGGAGATCAGTTGCGATTAATCCCGCTCAACAACGCCTGGATCGCATATGGAAACGTTGTATCATCCGCTCAATCTGACTTGCGTGCATAGAACAAATAAGCATTTTTCCATGAAAAAGTGAAGTTTTCTAAAATGTGCGTTTCTTTCCAGCACTGGGGCGCCCGGAAGTCACTCGGGTAACATTTCATAAAGTATAATATAAAAAGACCATATGCAAATTTTCTGTACTTTTGTCGGAAAAAATACATTTATCCAGCACAATGTCGTCTCTTTTTGCGTTGGAGAAGAGCAAATAGCGAGTTTCAATCACACTTTGGCCGCTCTCGCAAGCTCTCACTCGTTTCACTGTGGTCAAGAGACTTTGGGGCAAGCGGTTAATGAAAATACTAATCGTTAGCTTTCTTCTGGTATCAAACTTATTTTGATTGATTGTATAATTTTGTCGGAATAAAGGAAACAAAAAGGCTCGACCAATAACTTATCAGCGTCTGAATTGACATTAAAAAAAATTTGACCTTGAATTCCCTGATGCAAGCGCACTAATGACGTCATCTTCGCTTAATCGGTGTCTTTTATTCTAAAATGCGACACTTTCACAATGTTTATACATCTTTTTGTAATTATTAGTAAGATATAACATATTTTTTCTGATATAACTGAAGTTTTGGGTTTTGTTTAATGAGTAATTTTAAAATAAGACCCATTTTACTGTTTTAATTTACTGGATCGTACCATTAAAGTCGCAGGGTAGAAAGATGCATTTTCCAAGCGCGCCAAATTTAATCAGGGACGTGATAGAGAAGGACTGGAATCAAGCCGCTCTCCTTTGACCCCATGCTCCAAAGCGCCGAAAAGTTATGCGCTAATCTGCAACTGTTGACCAGGTGGTGAGATAAAAGAGCGCATGAAATTTCAGGAGTTAGAATTCCTACATCAGAAAATGGTATCACTGCAACTGTTCGCTGTCCCTTCCAATGATTTCTCATCCATTGTTGAATGTGTAAAGAGTAGAACAAGCGAACACAAACTTGTGTACTTTCATCCTTTTTTAAACTTGAAAAATACAAAAAAAACACGCGAAAACACGCATTAGCAAACTTAATGTTATTGAAGATTGTAAATCATGGATCAAATAACGGGACATTAAAGCATGCACAAATTAGCGCATCATCCTAAAATATTGAGTTTTTGACAGGATGTAATTTTTCTTTTACCAACTCTGGCACACAAATTAAAGGAAGGACGGAGTTCTAAATTTGAAAAATTGTTTGATGCACTATTCCCAATAAAATCCCCATATAAAGTTTTTGATTTACACTGAAATTTTGCCGGTAATTTAATATTTTGTAATAAATGTAAAACTGGTGCCTGGCTTCCGAAAGTCCCCGCAGTGGAAGCGCGGTTCGGAGCATGGAACTTCAAAGCCAAGTGGAATGCTACACATCCCATTGTTACGCTTTAGAACTCAAGAATGCGTTTGAATAAATTACAAGAGTTTCGCCTCCTTTTCTTTCACCTCCCTGATTTAATTAACGTTCCGACATTCTGTTAAATGGGTTCGTGTTGTTAAGAATCCACTGCTTTCTGCTCCAACAAACGTCCACATGCGGAGTCGTTTATCAACTAAATTATTCAAATTTATGGATGCTTCCTAGCTTCCCAGGTGTTTGTGTTGCTGTTGAAGCATTTCATTCACCTACTATCATGCTTTGTACTCCAATTGCCAGAACGCAAATTTCATTTTGGTTTTATAGTTTCATCGTATTCAAATTTATGAATGCTTCCTCCCCAGGTGTTTGTGGTGTTTATGCATTTCATTCACCTGTTATTATTCTTTGTACTCCAATTGTTAGAATACAAAATGCATTTTGGTTTTATAGCTCCATGCAATAAGTAAGTCAATAAAAGAGTATGTTCTGCACAATAAAAACAATGTGTGTCCCTCTTGTACAATGTAATGTGTCCCCTCATTTTGTAATAGTTAATTTAGCCATTCACATAATGGAACTACCTGCCCGATGAAGCCAATGGCCTATGACCCCTGAGCACTCAACACCGTGTGGGAGTCAGTTCGTGATCAAATTCTTTTATGAGACAAATACAAGAAAACGTTTCCATATGGGGTCGAAAGGCCCTTGCCTCCCCCAGCAAACCTAAGAGAGAGAAAAGGAAGGGAAGTGAAAGGGAAAGAAAAGAGAAAGGGACAGGAAAATAAAGAATAAGATATCAGTTGCGATTTTTCCAATCAACAAGGTGTAGATCGGGGGGCACTGGCTAACTGATGGGGAGGGGGGGGGCTTGGGGGCAGTTGCCCCCCCCCCCCCTCCCAGATAAAATTCAAACGTGGTTTATTTCTAATTCGATACCGGTGATTTACAAATGTTGCTGAAGTCTGAGATTTTTCCTCAATTTTTAGTATATTATACTTGTTATGCATTTGCTGGGAAAAAAGACAAATTCCTAAATCTACAGTCAGGCAAGAAATTTGCTTGTTTAGATGCCTACGTGTCAGGGCCCGCGGGAACTGCGGGGTTCGGGTTCTCGAGCTCCCCCCGTCCCCCACTTTTTTGAAAAAGTACATTTAAGAGAAAGAGAAAAAGACAGGAAAAATAGTGACCTGCCATTATCACAAAATAATGAGGTATCAAAATATTATGCTCATCTGACCGTGATTAAATGCCTAATACCCCCTAAAACGGGCCCCTTGATGCTCATCTGACGATAACTTAATGCCTAAAACTCCTGAGCTTCTGGGGGCTCCGTCCCCTAGACCCTACGCCATTTAGTGTCCTGCCAGTGTCACAAATAATTTAAAAAAAATGCTCATCTAACCGTAATTAACCCCTGAGCTTCCGGGGGCTCTGCCCCTTGGACCCAACCAATGGCCCTAGAACGGGCCACTCGATGCTCATAATGATGATAATTTAATGCCTTAGACCCCTGAGCTTCTGGCGGCTCTGCCCCCTGGACCCCACGCCAATTAGTGTCCTACCAGTGTCACAAATAAGGTATTAAAAAAAATGCTCATCTGACCGTAATTAAACGCTTAAAACCTCTGAGCTTCCGGGACCCAATCAATGGCCCTAAGTAAGGCGGGCCCCTGGATGCGTTTTTGCTCATTACGTCGCGGCTGGGCACCATTACGTACCTTTGGCTCGCATAATTTCAAATTTGCCCCCGCCCGGCCCCCCCCCCTAAGAAATCCTGGATCCGCGCCCGTATTACCCCGACATTTCGTGAATTCCAGGAGTACGTTTTTTAAAGCTTATCAAATGTGACCTCCAGTACTTAAAGGTAATACAAAGTTTTGGTAAATTTTGAAAATTGGGTGGATAGTGAATCTTTACAATTTTGATATATTTGGATGCCCCTGTGGATGTTTTATAAGAACTAAAAAAATTAGCCCCTAAAACACTTCTGTTTTCGAGAAAAATTAAATATAAAAATTTACCGGTGCTCCCGGTAAATTTTGATAAATTTCAAATAGCGCCTATGGCCGTACAATGGTAGCTGCGACCATGAAAATCTCAGAATATGTAGTTGTGATATATAATTTCCAAACGGGAATAGCTCATCCGTTGATTTTAGTCAAGAAATATTGTTTCATAGCTAAATTAATATCTTGACCTTGAGAGGGAGCTATACAACATCAACAGTTTATTATTTATAATTTCATAACTTCAGACTCGATTTCAACCGCGACAATGATCATTGAGTATTGTAGGAACGCATATGCTTTCAATATTTTAATTTGTACCGAATTCATGACCCCATACCAAAATTTTGTATTACCTTTAATGATCCATAATGGATTACAAACATTATGTTAGGGAGGGGAAATTATAACAACGCCTAAGAATTGGTATAAATGAAAGAGAAAGGGATGTTGTAGGCCTATGTCCAATTTAATCATGTAGGTCTGACGGTAAGATAGTTATCAAGTTACCTGTAGTTACCTGTAGTTACCTGTCTTCACGGGCTCTAATGCCCACACATAGGAGCATCACTATCCTGGCTGTGTAGTAAAAACTGTGTTTTTGATTCTCAACATTTCAAACACCACTGTACAAAACTCAACTGATTTCACTCAAAATCGGTACTTTAGTGACAATTGATGAAACCTAAATAGCAGTAAAGTACATTTTTTTTAACTTACTGATGATAAAAATAATAATTTAAAAATTCAAATTGTAAGTCTAGTGTCAAACTTTGCTTACAGCTGCATCGACATGATTGTGTACAGTCTATGCAATATTGTGTGATGTGTGTATTTGTGTTGGGTCTAAAAAATACCCGCTTACAGCAAGCATGCAGTGCTAAAGGTCAGTACGCATTGGCATTGACTCTCTATGCTTTGCTGGAGTGATAATGCCCACCTTCCTTCATTCAAAATCCACTGCATGTGATATCGTGTCATAATTTGCAGATATCAATCCTATCAAATGCATGACTAGACAATAAAATAGATAACTCGGTTCGCTCGCTCACTAAAATTGCTATGAATCCATTGTACATTCATTTGCATTAATAGCACCACCGTCATCCCCTTTCCCTCATCAGGGACTCCCAAACCTAATTTCTCACGCCGCACCCTAGATTGGTACGGTCGATGCCGCCGCAATTTTCTTCTCTCCGATTATGTATTTGAAGATACCATCAGTAATCCGAACACCATGCAGTAGCTCGCGATATGTAGGATTTTTTTTTATAAAAGTCGGCATTTTAATTGTCAATTTTTAAGTGATCTTTCAGGTTATGGATAGAGGGAAGCCGCCTCCAAAGAAGCCACCGATTCGGCGAGGTAAGCAGAATTTCAAATAATCATGTAGATCGTCCACTTAAAGAGCTATTATTGCCAAGTTTTCTGTAGGATTTTGGCCAAGGGCGAGATTTGAGAACAGTGCATTTGATCTGAATTCACTGAACGTCTGAAGCATAACATGGCAAAGGCCAGCGCTAGGGCAGCGCGCGTGGCGCTTAGCCAGGCCACAGCCAACGACATTTTTAGGCGAGTCCAACCTTATAAAGTGAAAGTGATGGTTGGTTTTAGTAAAAGCAGAATACTGAGAGAAACTAATTAGTGAATGTTGTGTCCTAAAATCCTTCCCATAGAGATTGCACGCATCCCTATCACGCAGTCTAGAAATGTGAATTGCGTGATCATGCAAAATTGGTCAAAGTTTTTTATGAACAAATCGAGATTCAAACCTTTAATCTAATTGTTGTGATAATGAAGGTGAGACTCAATAAATGAGGTGTCAAATAAAAGAGCAAATTAATCTCCTAATTTCCAAAGGGGCCTCCACTCAGAATTTTAAAAATATCATTGTCAAAACACCCATTGTATTTTTAATTTTGTATGAAATGTTTTTTGCATCCTAGCTCTGAAATTTGCCATTTTTTAGAACCAACAGATCGATCAGTTGTAAGGAATCGATCCATGCGCTTATTTTTTCGCTAGCCACAAGTTATTACAGTTTGAAAATACCCTTTCCCCCATTTTTGGGATCAGCTATTAAAGTAGGGAGGCGAACGGACCCGCACACAGAAGACAACGGAGGTGGAGCTTGCGATCGCGCTCAAGTAGCGCATGCAGCTAAGCAACATGTGTACGCTTGCATAATGCGCAATGCAGATGTTTTGCTAAATTTAGCGAAACAAAATAACTCTGCGTGTACGTCTTTTTCGTCGATTGTGAAAAAAATTGGATGAATATTGCCTACTGCCTAGATTTTAGGGGGCTGTATCTTTTGATAGAAACATCGGTGAGTCTTGAAATTCGAAATGTATAATTCGGAGTAAATGTTTTTTTTCAATTATCCAACCATAATGATGGTGAAAAAACGATCCCAAAGGGAAAATTTTAAAAATTGTTCAGACAACCTATTAAAAAGGGAAAGTTATGCATTTTTAAAGTTGCATCAGTGAAACACTTTGTATTTCTTAATGGCCTTTCTTTAAGGGCCATCCGCACCATCTGTATCTTGTATGATTTGTATGTTTTTATTTTTGTGGTTGAACAAAATAGCTGTGGGGAAAAAATAAATTGTAAATCTTCTTCATCATGAATCAGGTCTGCCGTTACCAGACAAGATCATCCCGCTAGGGAGTAAAGGGCGTCCTGACCAGGATCCAAAGCCTACCCCATCACTCTACTCTGACCGCAAGAGGGAGGCCAGCGCACCCCTGCCAAGCCATGTGATACCGCCCAAGACCAAGCTGGTGGGGTTGACGCCCCTCGGTAGGGCCGCTCCCGAGATCAGCAGATCTTCAAGCAGTGCCGTCCTCCACAAACCAGGCATCAAGACCATTGAAGGTGAGTGATGGGACGGCAGTCGGTCGGTCTCTCTGCGGTACCATTAGTGGAACTGCCAGCTCTCTTTGCCAGACTTTGACGGAACCTGGGGGGTGTTTCATAAAGCTGTTCGTAAAGTTACGTGTGACTTAACGAACGACTTGTATATGAAAAGCCAAGTGGGATGCAAATACATCAACTAAAGTTGAACTGTGCAGATGTAGATTAACATTCTTATGATAACAAACATTTTTAATGCAAAGTATATTTTTTGCCATAATTTAATTGAGGTTATTGAAAATATGAGAAAAACCGTTGGGCATCCTATATGGCACTTCATATACAAGTCGTTCGTAAAGTCATGTGTAACTTTACGAACAGCTTTATGAAACACCCCCCAGGTTCAAAATTGAGTCACATCTTTTTGAATGGTTATTGTAAAAGTCAGTCCTCAGACAAGAAAATAATAATATCTACATGTAAATGGCACACACCTGTAAAAGAACCCAGTTACACACACATACATGTCTATATTCTAGCTTCAAGACAGAGTTTTCATGTAAGATGCATCACCATTTCTACCTTTTGCTGGACTTTGGGTTGAATAACAATTTTATGGTACAGAAAAACTCATTGCCCACTTGGGTCGAAAAGTGTGATGAGAGACCAGAGAGCATTCAGTCGTGGATCAGGCGAGGCGGTCAGGGTAATATTGTATGATGCACAGTATGTGCACATGTTGTAACTTAGATAAGACGCGACAGTCATAAAGTGAAGTCCAATCTCGTAACGATGATATTCTTATTGGGTAAATACCTGAATTTCCCATGAGAACCCCCAATTACATTCTTTCATCCATTCTGTACCACAAATTGAACAAAATTGTCATAAATGATCAGCTAGGAGTTTCACTAAAAATATAGCTTTGTTGAATTAAGTGTAAAAGCAAAATCTTCCATGAAAATGATCTTCACCGTAAAGATACACATTTCTGTTTGAAAAAGAAAAACGAAAGTCATTCTTGGTCCAAACACAGTTTCAAACACCAATTAACCATGATGTGAACGTTCATGTTGACAGTGCCTCCAATCGAGCTGGTGGACCGAGTTCTGGCTGCAGACGAGGCTGAAGACGATGAAAGCATCGATAAGATCCTGTGTGGGGCCTTGAAGAGTCTGAAGACTGTCCGAGCCAAGCCGTCTCCTGCTCTCTACCTAGGGCTCATGTACCTCGCCAAAGTCAAACCAATGTTCTTTGAGTCGGAGAACGTGATCGAGGTAACGGAGGGGTGCTGAATTTTTTCACTTTATAACCAAGATAAATTGTGTTTTTTTTGCATTTATTTCACAAATTGGTTAACCCATTGACTATGGGAACTTGGTTGTTACTTATCCTGTTGGAAATGAAAGAATGAAGAAGTCATCCATTAAGTAATTTATTCTTGAAATGGTAATAGAGATGTGTCTTTATATCTGTTATTACTGTGTATTCTTGTTTTTAGACTTTATCCATGCATTAAGTATTTGTATGTATCATGTAATGAATAGCTTTGTTTGAACAGATATCTTTTAAATACCCTTTCTTGCTATCCACATCTCATATTGGTCTCATATCTTTAATGTTCCTACTTATGATTGAAATATGTATCTAAACATTATCTTTCTTTTCCCCCTTCCTCTCCTTCTCGTTCTCTCTCTTACTCTCTTTCCCTCCCTCTCCTCCCCTTCAACTCCTCTTTCCACTCTCCCTCCCTCTCCTTCCCTTCCACCCTCTCTCTCTGTTCCTCTCCGCTCTCTCCCTCTCTCTTATTCCCCCTTCCACTCTTCCTCCCTCTCTCTCGTTCCCTTCCACTCTTCCTCCCTCTCCTCCCCTTCCACCCTCTCTCTGTCTCTCTCTCTCTCTTCCTCTTCGCTCTCTCCCTCTCTCCTACTCTCTCACCGCTCCCTCCCTCTTTCTCCCTCTCCGCTCTCTCTCCCTCCCTTGCCCTTATCTCCTTCCCTCTCTCTCTCTCCCTCCCCTCCCCCCCTCTCCCTCCCCTCTCTCTCCCTCCCTCCCTCTCTCTCTCCCTCTCTCTCTCTCTCTGTCTCTCTCCCTCTCTCTCTCTCTCTGTCTCTCTCAGACTACCTGCTCTCTGCTAAAGAGAGACATTGGAATGAGCTTCAAGAGCAAGGGGAATGCCCTGGTTTCTGTAGTGGCCTGCAATCTACTCATGCATGCCTTTGTCTATGAGCACAACTGGCCTGATATCTTTGTGAAGGTAAGCCGCCATAGGTTGTATACATATTCACATTTGGTCATTGTTTAATGGAGCAAGTATGAAATAGAGATTTAAATGTGCTAAAATATCTTGTAAGTGCATAACTTGATAAAATCCCATAATTAAAGAATACTGATTGTGTTGCAGGCGGAGGCATATTTTCGACTGCGTAGAGTCAACTTTTGTTCTAGTTTCATACTGATCATACAAGAAGAGCCCATTGAAAAACTGAGAGTACTGATGATAATAAATTATATTTCTATAGTGCTTTTAACAAAATTGTACAAGTGCGTACGTGATTTCATGCATTGCCTAAGGTATACCTGGAGGATGCACATGGCGAGAGGGTATGGGTGGACCATCCTTACTGCAAGGAGTTTGTGACCAACATCCAGACCGCCTTTGGAACCAAGCTGGCCTCTCCTCATCTCCAGATGGCGACAGACCCACTCCGAGGAAGCTTGTCCGATGTTTCTGGCAGTAAGGGATACTTGTTTCTGCCGTACTTCCACTTTCGCTTTCGCTGTATTATTCCTCCCTTTATCTCACTTTTTCTTCACAGTTGTTTCTATTTTTTTCTCTCTCTCTTCTTCTCCGTGTTCTCTCTTCTTCTTTTTCTCTCTTCTTTTTCTTCTCTCTTCTTTTTCTTCTCTCTTCTTTTTCTTCTCTCTTCTTTTTCTTCTCTCTTCTTTTTCTTCTCTCTTCTTCTTCTTCTCTCTCCTTCTTCTTCTTTTTCTTCTTCTCCTCCTCCTCCTTCTTCTTCTTCGTCTTCTTTCCATTATATTTTGTTTTTATATTCTAGTAGAGCTATGCTATACAATGCCTCCAATGTTTTATGTTTTTCTTTTTTCATACTTCTTATCCTTTGCACATAAAGAGGCGGGAAATCTTTTTGAGGTTGATTTTACACATCCTAACTGTACAAAAATAATTTAGGTGATTGGTAGATTGTAAACATGTTATGATTTGTGCTATAACTAGGTGGAAGCCCCAGTCGTGAGGATGCGGAAGGCAGTCAGGCTTCTAGTACACCAACCCTAGGGTCTGAGGAAGGTGACCTGGGTTCAGAATCACAGGAAACGATGCCAAGGTAGGTCTTCCTGGAAACTATCACATCTGCAAAGCTGCCAAACCATTACGTTTTTCCTGTAATTATTCTGTTTTTTTTCTCCCAATTACGGTAGTACGTTTTTTCTTCATAAAATCCTCTTTTTTTTTTTTTGCACATCGACCAAATTTCCTATAAATGTTAATCACTACTTCAATAGTAAACGAAAAAGTAAGAAAAAAAATGAAAGCATACATATTCTCAAAAAAAAACGAAACGCCGATAATACCAAAAAACAAAAAACAAACAAAACTACCTACTTGTAAATACACTAGAGGTCCTAATATAAGTTCTGAGGGAGGTTCTAAATTAGTATTATCTTTCAATTGCCGTTGGAATTAAACCTTTTCATTTTTTGGCCTGCAAATGGGACAAAGTACCCTTGAAACCATATAATAGGGAAGTTTAGATTTGCGTGGACTGATACGTGTGACGTCCATTCAAGGCAGTGCATTAAAAGTATGTCGATCGTAGCAATCCACATTGTCTTCGTGCAAATATAAAAGTCCCAAATGATTCAAAATATAAAACATGCATTCATGTATTTTTAAAGTCATTTGAAGTACTCTGAAGAACAAACTGTTCATGCTGCCCTCACAGGTACAGTCTATTACGGGATGAGATAGAGAAGGACGTGGTGGACTTTGTGAAGGAGCAGCTGGTCAGGAGACAAGGCATGGACACACCCAGGAACCTCCTAAGGCTTCTCACATCGACATGCGGCTTCAGCGAGGTCAGGCTCATCACCGCCCAACGTCTTGAGATGTGGCTACAGAACCCCAAGGTATGAAAAATCCTCTGGTCCTTATTTCAAAAAACATTTATAGATAACGGGTTGCGATTATCAACATAAGGTACGGAAATTGTATTTGATTGGCTTGAGATTGGCAAATGTGCTATAAAATGATGGCACTTGTTACTGATAGCAAGTTTTATGAAACAATGCTGTGGCCATGCTGTGCTTTATAGAGTATTGAACTTTTGAGACTGATTTTGTATCGACATCTATACAGGGCATTGCATTTTGAATCTGGGGCCTGGCCATAAGAAGTAAATGCTCCTGTGATAACTGCCTCATCATTTGTTCCTTGCACTAAATGTCAATGACTTCCTACCTTGTACCCTCGACCAAACTTTTTTTATTACCTCGAACCCAAGAGCAACCAAATTCTAAACCTTTAACTTCGTAAACTGTGAGCCATTATAATGCCCTGTGAGATTCATATAAATTTAGATAAAAAGTTGCACTTTTGCTATAATTGTGTTTGTTTGTGATGATCATACATTGACATGTGGGTAAAATTTATGCAATGATGAAACTCACTCTGACACCCCTTCTGAAGGCCTTTCCCAATGTTGACAGAGTGAATCTGAGCATCCCTTGCAAGTCATTACTCAGACAACCCGGGCATGGTTTCATGAAACCGTCATAAGTACGAGTTCACCGACATCCCATCGAAACGCGTATTAAAGTGCATACTGGCATTTCGATAAGTTGTCTGATTATTTTGTGAAACACTGTCCAGATTGATGTAATCGGCTCATGCTTTTATCTCTGTTTTTTTTCTTTTTCATCTTGCCTTGCACAGCTGACGAGGCCAGCCCAGGAGTTGCTTGTCTCGACCTGCGTGAACTGTTGCACCCACAGTCAGGAGGATGTAGAGGTCATAGGTCATCTCATCAAGATCAGACTCAAGACCAAGCCCCTTATCAATCACTACCTGATCAGCATGAAGTGAGTTCACTCTCTGTCTGTCATTAAACCCTTGGCAAATTCTGCCCAATATTTTTAGACGTTGAACAATTAATTCCGACTGAGAATGGTTACGCTTTACTCCCAGAAACAGAAATAAAAAGTTGGTACCTGTGGAAGATATTTTATACCAAATTTATCAATATTGTAAGTCAAATTATTAATATTTAAAGTTCTTTTATGACAATTGCCCACTACCGTGTGGTACACAATGAGTCGATATTCAAGCAATTTTCACTTATAGTGTTGTTTTGACATCTGGCATGTGTTAAGTAAGGATCAAGAGCTTTTTTTTTTGTTGGGGGGAGGGGGTCTTATGAAGACGAAGAAGTCAATGGTTATCTTGTCAAGATCAGACTTGCGGGGCTGAGACCCTTTTTCAACCCTTATCAGTATGAAGTGACTGCACTCCTTTTGTAAGATTAGTTATCTTTAAAAAATTATACTAAAACAACTTTTTAGTGTTATCTGACATATGTGTTCTGTGGTAAAGTACAGATCTCACTACCAATTGTTTATCAAATATGATATTATGTTTGGTTTAGATGTATGTTATCTGTGTATACAATTTATATTTATATGTATTTGCTTATTTATGATACATTGTCAGAAAAATACTTATTGTACTTCATATCATTATTGTTATCGAAAAATTGTATGCTTATATGAATGCAGAAGAAAATCAAATCAAATCAAATCAAATTAGTTCATAGCAACACCATTCTTATCCCTGCTGCCTTTGTACAGAGAGCTGTTGAGCCAGCACAAGGAAAACCTGCCCACTGTCGTGAAGCATGTCATTTACAATGAGCTGTCCAATGCACGTAATCCGAACAACATGGCCCTTCTAGGAGCGTTGTTCCAGCACTCACCGGAACTAGCAGCCAAGGTATGAAACTGATAAGATACATTGTCCTGAGCTGCCAACCATTACGTTATGGAATAGGAATCAAATCAAACTACTACACCAGAAAAACTTTCTCTAAATATGTATTGAGTGTTTGTGTATGGAATGAAATGATAATAATAATAATAATAATAATAATATTCAGTGTTTATATAGCGCTCAATAAATCAATCCAATGATGTGCCTAAGCGCTTTACAGATACATTATTACCCCGGTCATCGGATTCAGGCTTACCCGCACACAATGTATGCACATTTTCCACTCCCTGAGGAGCATTCTGTGCTTAGCTGCTATGATGAAACTCACTCTGACACCCCTTCTGAAGTCCTATCACAATGTTGATGAGTGAATCTGAGCACCAAAGTGTCTACTGCATAAAAGGCCATGAGGAAAGATTTTGTTTATGTAGAATTTGCATGTGTGACATACATAACCTTGTTCTGCATAACTCTTTCTCCAAGACATAATCTTTCTAAGCATATCAATACCTGTGAATGTTAGGTAATTGAAAACATATCAGAAAAAATCTTGGAACCAGCATGATTTGAACCTGCCATCTCCCTCTTGCCGGGTAGTGACTCTATGACCAGGCCATCACAAACAAACACCCCAGCCCCCCTGATTCATTCTGACTTATTAAATAATAATCAGTTAGCTATTAGGACAATACCTTTGATTGCTGATGTAAATGTTATAGGACGTATGCTCGCCCATTCTTGATACAGCATCAGTTGACAAGTTACCTTTACTCTTCCGTTTTATATCATGGGCCGTTGTATTAATTATGTCCTTGCTTATATTTGAGCAGTTCCAAGGTCAGTTGCTGTTCCATACATTAACCAAACATGAAGTGAACATAGTTGAGCTGCAACAACTAAAAATGATAATGATGTCCGTAATTTAGGGACCAAAATAAATACCTTTGACTCACCCATTTTATAATTTTTTCATTTAAAAATCAATTGTTTCAGACATAAGGATTGTAACACCTGTATTTTTATATTGCTTAAGATAAGAAACTCACAAATTCTTTGTCTGCTTCTTGTAAACCCTTCAGAATCTAGCAGCAGTGTTTCAAGACCTGTTGATGAACCGCGATGACTATCTCCGGGCGTTGAGGGCACTCTTCAGAGAGATCGTCAAAGCGCTGCGCTACGACGTCGACTTTGTCGCTTTCTGCCGCGGACTGATGACGGAAAAAACAGACAGGCAGTTCACAGAGCTTGAAAAAGCAATCAAGGTACTAACTGATGTGTAGTTTATCATTTTAAAGTTGAGTGCTTTTGGGATTATCTTCAATGAACATTTTATTATTCAAAAAGGTAGATATGAATTTCTGGATATTCCAATTAATCATGAAAGTCGGACATATTCGGCAAATAGCAACATTTATGAATGCAATGATGAAACTCACTCTGACACCCCTTCTGAAGGCCTATCACAATGTTGATGAGTGAATCTGAGCACTTTTTGCATAATATGAAGGCAAAGAATGTCTATTTATAATATGATATTTCAGTCACAATGAAAGCAATGTATGTACTGAAATCTCATTTTACTAAGTCTTCTTTTTTACCTCATAATTATTTTAAAACTCTCTCTCTTTTCCTCTCTTATCTTCTTGCTTTCTCTCTCTCTTCTCCAATTCCTATCTTTTTTCTCTCATATTGTTTTCATTACTTCCTTAAACTTCATCTTCTCTTAGGATCGCATGTTTGCATCCCTGTGTGACCTGATCTGCCTGGCATCCCTACTGAGCGTCACACCTCAAATCAGAGAAATTGTTGCAGCCTACACCAGAGGGGAGAGAAAAGGTAACCAGTTATGGTATCTTCAAAAGGCAATCAGCTATGGTATCTTCAAAAGGAATACCTTCCTATCATGCAGTATAATTCCCTTCAGTTATTTCATTTGTATTTTCTTGTGCTACAGTGCCATGATGAAAGTCACTCTGACACCCCTTCTGAAGTCCTATCACAATGTTGATGAGTGAATCTGAGCATTTTTATTTCATGGGTACTAAAAAACAGATACCGTATTTGCCGGCGTAAAGGCCGCACCGCCGTATAGGCCGCACCCCCAACTTTGACATTTCGTAGAGGAAAAAAAAAACTACAACAAAAAAAAACGGACCAAAATGATCGTAATTTTCTTGTAGAACACTCTTTTTTTTTTACAAACTATACCAAATTCATCAATATTCTTATAAATCAACAAGAATTTAACCTCAAAAATGATCATAATTTAGCAGATCTTCATCGACTTTTAAGCTAGTACTGTATCGTACGCAGATTTGGTATCCTACAATACCCCTTCCTCGATGTGCGGTGTAATCCGAAATAGCATTTTTCGACCTGCGCAGTTGCGTTGCACGGCAGCTAGCTCCGTAAGTAACGGCCTGTCCCTTTGTTTACTTTTTGGCGATGCAATGGTATGGACTTAGATCTAGATCTATCGGCAGATTTTATTAGAAATTTTTTTTTTCGTCTTCATGTCAACTATGCAACATAAACTTGTCGGTAAGTTGTGTGGAGTTATTCTAGAATTGTCCTGTACCGTTGTCTAGTCATGCTACCGTTCCTATAGTCCCATACGTGCAAATGGACGTGATGTTTTGACCGCTGAATTTTGTTGTTGTTGCGTATACGCCGCACCCCGACTTTTTGATTTTTTCTCACCCGAAAATACTGCGGCCTTTACGCCGGAAAATACAGTATTTACTCTGGATAAATGCCCGCGAGAAGCACTGGAGTAAATACACTATGTCAAGTCATGTTCATGCTTCATCAGAAGATTGGATGTTGTTTTTTCCGGAGGTTTGTAATTTTGAGGTCAGTTACAACAAAGGTTAATTTTTTCTTTGGTTCATAATGACTAAACTGAAATAGGGTGCCTCCTTTTTTGAATTTTAATAGGGTTCATAATTCTGGAAGTGAAATAAAACCCTTTGTAATTTTCAGAGTCATGCACCTTCTGAATAATGGTTTATACTGTCAAGATAATCCATTATGATATTATTTTTGTTATTGCCAGACAAATCCGATAGGAATTTTCTTGATATTTGACCAATTTACTCTGGTTAGAATGCAGTTAGAGTTCTTATAGCCCACTGGAACAGCATGGTGCCTGTGAAACTTCCATCTTGAAATGATTTTCTTTTGTTTGTTTATTACCAGCGTCTGACATGGAGTCACTGCGCGCGTTCCAGGCTCAAGTCTCAATGACCCAAAGGGATTGTGTGTGGTGGATACACACCATCGCCATCAGCATGTTCACACTCACTCAGGGAGAACTCAATAAAGTGTAAGTCTTCTGCATTTAAAGCCCCACTGCACTACTTATAGCTACTTGCATCCTCTATATAGCAAACAATGCCTTATCGGTGCCTGTTGGTCCCCCATGATCCCATTTTTCTTTTGTTAATTGAGTGCTGATTTGATGAGATAACCACCTGTCAGTCACCACGTGGGGTGGTCTAATCCCCCCTGGCCAAACTAGTACAGATAAGCTTTAATATGAAGCACTCACTGATGTCAGGTTTGATGTGAATTTGAACCAATTGGAACTTTAGTAAGGCAGGGCCCCTGTGTTATAGATTTGTCATTTACCTTACTGACTTAAACTTCAAGAGAAGGGTTAGGTTTCTTTTCATATGTTCCTAACATGTCATTTTTTTGCTATGATGAAACTCACTCTGACACCCCTTCTGAAGGCAAATCCCAATGCTGACAGAGTGAATCTGAGCTGATCAAAACTGTGTTTTATTTTAAAAGAAAGTTGGTGATGAGCTTTACTATATTGTTTGAAGGTTAATCAAAATCTCACTAACAAAATCTGTACCCCTGATATTTTCAGCTGATCAACTACAGCCTTTGTCAGTGATGTGACTTGACTTGACCTTCTGTTGTTGTTGTTTCTTTTAGTATCCAGAAGCTTGTGTTCCTAGACACTCATGAAGGCTACTGCAGTAAGGACAACTGGCCACAAGAGACGGACAGAGGGTAAGATCTTTACTTTGTTTTATTTGCCGACTATTTCTTTTTTCGACAAGCTCTCTCTCTAAAAAAAACGTCTTTAAGGGGGTCTAATTTTCTGTCGACCTATGGCTAGTTGCTTGATATCATTGTAAGTGTTCGGTTGGTGGACATCCCATAGAAATGTGTGCTGCATAACTAGTAGACGTTTCAATGGGATGTCCAAGAAAGAACTTAAACAGTTTCTTTAACTGGTCCCTTCTCTCTCTCTCTCTCTCTCTCTCTCTCTCTCTCTCTCTCTCTTTCTCTCTATCTTACTTTCTTTCTCTTACTTTCTCTCTCTTACTTTCTCTTACTTTCTCTCTCTTACTTTCTCTTACTTTCTCTCTCTTACTTTCTTTCTCTTACTTCCTCTCTCTTTCTCTTTCTCTCTGCCATTTTCTTCTGTTTTGTTGATAAATGTCAATTGTTTCTGTACTGACGATAAACATGGTAACATTTCAAATAGCAAATAAAAAACTAATCTACCAAACATTGATATTCATGATTATAAATGTATTCATTTAAATGTAGATAAGTCATGTGGTAATATATTTATAATAAGTTGTAACAGCAATTCTAACCAAAGGACGTAATTTAAAGGCCCACTGTACTACTTGTAGCTACTTGCGCCCTCTATATAGAAAACAATGCCTAATCAGTGACTATTGGTCCCCCATGATCCTCTTTCTCTTATGTTAATTGAGAGCTGAGTTGATGAGATAACCACCTGTCAGTGACCACCCTTGGTGGTCTATTCCCTCTTAGCCAAACTAGTACAGATGGGCTTTAAGATTGAGTTATATATAAATAATAATATTGGATTCTTATATAGCGCACGTATCGACCTTGCAAGGTCCTCAAGGCGCTCCAACATTACCTGGCTCTGCTAGGCTGTCGATCTCGACGCTCACAGCATTTTAAAGAATTCCTTCCTACCGGTACCCATTTACCACCCGGGTGGAGAGTGGCAAATGTAGATCAATAATTGTATTTCTTTTGTCCCTCCGTGTGCAGACTCTTGCTCTCCCTGCTTTCAGAAGTGCCAGTCCAAGAGGACACCCTGATGCGCCTGCTCATCATGGGGCTGGAGAGGACTATTCCACTCGCTGCGGGGGAGGCCTTGGACCTGGTAGATAAGCTGGTCAAGAGGGCTGCAGTGCTGCAATCGGAAGGTACTTCATTCTGTGTTGTTGTGATATCATTGGAAATACAGAAGAACAAAGAGAAAGTTTTTTTTTTATAATAAAATAAAGAAAGAGAGAAATTATTATCTTTCTCTCCTTGAAGCACACTTTCAATATTAGTTCATGGTTCATCACAAAAATAATAATTTATAAACGATAACACAATAATTATTTTTAAATATAAACAATGAAAATCACCTAGCAATTAAAGGAAAGGTACATGTTTCGGAGTTGACGTAATCCATCTTAAGCCATAATTGCAACAAAATGATACCTCTCTATGAGGTGACTCAACCAAACACAAAAGAAAGAATTTAAAGATATCATTGATGTATTGGGTTGTTAAATGCCCCAACGTTGAGTTTCTTAAGTAGTTGAGGATATGGTACTTTCACTTGTGGACACTTGCCTTTGCTATTTGCTATGATGAAACTCACTCTGACACCCCTTCTGAAGGCCTTTCACAATGTTGACAGAGTGAATCTGAGCATATTTTTTTCTGTAAGAAATTAAACAGAAAAACCAACTGACATAAGGAGAATTTACCAGTAAATTTCTTGTTGACTTGCTGTCAAATATTCCTATATTTGAATTCCATAGCCCTTCAGCTTTCCACTTGCTTTAAAAATTGTTGACCTTGTCTTGTGACTTGCAAATTTCACATTAGCTCATGGATGTTCTCTGGTTGTCCATTTCTTTTCTCTTGTCAGACTTCCAGGTTTTAAAGATAGAGCGCACCACATTGATTGATGTCGTCTTGAATTCTTGTGTCTACCATCATCCAGAGAACATCACATTACCACAGGGGTAAGGCAACTTACTTTTTTTCATTGTTTCGTGTTTCACTTAGATATGTTGGGAGACCCTAATGGTTTTGGATTGATTCGTATCCTAGCTCTATAAAAATGAATATATTGAATATAGTAGTACTATGATATCATTCTTTTAAAACAGGTATAATCGCCATATCCTAGAAAATGAGTACCCTGGGTGGGGGGGGGGGGCAGTGAAATGAGGATATGCTACTTTAAGTAATGGCTTTGAAAAGTAATCTTTAAAAGACAAATATCTTATCAATGCCATGATGAAACTCACTCTGACACCCCTTCTGAAGTCCTATCACAATGTTGATGAGTGAATCTGAGCATATAACTCTTGTTCTACAAGAACTCAATATTTTATTGATAAGTTTTCCTATTTCACATTTCTTGTGTCCAGTCAAGAAGGGTTTTCAAATAAACCAGTACAGGGACCCATTTCACAAAGCCTTTTTTCAATGACAAATGACAAAAATCAGTGACAAAATCAGTGACTGTTAGGGGAACTATGTCTCCACAAGGCCATTTGGCCTTATTTTTTCGTTCCCTATCTTCATTTTCTTATATATTGCAAATGCTTATCATTGTATATATTTTTGTATTGTTTTTATTTAAAATGGAAATGAATAAAAAAAAACGAATTGAAAACTAATTAAATAACCAATCAGAAGCAAGGATTTCAGTAGCTTATAACGAAAACTGTCATTTGTCAAGGTAACAAGTCTTTCCTCAAATTGAATGGTGTTCGATGAATCCTGTGTTGTATTTGTCATTTCAGCTACCAGGTACCGAGTCTTGCCATTGCAAACTTCTACTGGAAAGGCTGGATCCTGCTGCTCATCATGGCTGCTTTCAACCCCAGTAATATTGGTAAGAAATGCATCTTTTGTTAAGAAAATACAGCAGTGAAGCTAATTGAGAGGGGCATAAAGAAAGTTGCTCTTCAAGAGATGATCAGATTGTTGACCCAGCTAAACAAACCCAATACAAAACAAAAACAAACAGACAAACAGAAATAATGAAAACTTCATGCATTGAATGAACCAACACAGATATGTATAAGCGGGACTTAAGAATCGTGTTACTGTAATGATTGCTGGATCAGCCAAGGTTTCTCAACTTTCTTCTAAGTTTACCGAAATGCTGTGATGAAACTCACTCTGACACCCCTTCTGAGTGTCTATCACAATGTTGATGAGTGAATCTGAGCTTATAACTCTTGTTCTACAAGAACTCAACTGATAATATCATGCCTGATAAAAAACAGATTTAAATCGTTTTCCTGATTTGTTTTTATGCCTCCGTTACGAAGTAGCCGGAGGCATTATGTTTTCGGGTTGTCCGTCCGTACATACGTACGTACGTCCCGTTCTCGTGATCGCGTTATCTGAAGAACCGATTGATGGATTCCTGCCAACCTTTGGTCATGTATGTATCTTGCAGAGCCGATGAACTGATTAGATTTTGGGGTCACAAGGTCAAAGGTCAAAGGTCATCGGGCTCATTATGTATGCAAAAACAGCTCGTGATCGCGTTATCTGAAGAACCGATTGATGAATTCCTGCCAAACTTTGGTCATGTATGTATCTTGCAGAGCCAATGAACTGATTAGATTTTGGGGTCACGAGGTCAAAGGCCAAAGGTCACAGGGCTCATTATGTATGCAAAAACAGCTCGTGATCGCGTTATCTCAAGAACCGATTGATGGATTCCTGCCAAACTTAGGTCATGTATGTAACTTGCAGAGCCGATGAACTGATTAGATTTTGGGGTCATGAGGTCAAAGGTCAAAGGTCACAGGGCACATTATGTATGCAAAAAATAGCTTGTGATCGTACAATCATTAGAACAGATTGATGGATTCCTGCCAAACTTCATTTATGTATCTTGCAGAGCCAATAAACTGAGTAGATTCTTGGTTCATAAGGTCAAAGGTCATTGGCTCATTATGTATGCAAAAATAGCTTGTGAAAGCATTCTCATTAGAACTGACAGATGGATTACTATTTAACTCAGGACATCTTGCAGAGCCAATGAACTGAGTAGATTTTAGGGTCATGAGGTCAAAGATCAAAGGGTCATATATGTATATGAGAAATTGCTTGTAATCACGATATTCTGAGAACCTGTTAATGGATTACAATTGAACTGGAATTTTAAAAATTTCTTCTGTTTTGGTTTCTAAAATTGCTCTATGACGGAGGCATCATTTTCGACTGCACGCAGTCGAAGTTCCATCTAGTTTTTTTCTTCTTCTCAATTTTATCCTGATTTTCCTGATTTTTCCCTGATTTTCTCTATTTTTCCTTATTTTTTCCTATTATGTCCCAATTTTTCTTACTCAAAAGGGGGGAATGTTAGATGCCATTTTTCCCCCCGAATACTTTTTTTTTTAATGCTCACTATCACCTCTGTTATATTATGCTCTCCTTTTTTTTTTCTTTACAAAAAAAAAAACTTTTCTACTTCAGCCAATGCAATTGGTTGAACAAAGGAGACATGCAGGCTTTACCCCTGATTGCACCTAAAGTCACCTCATCATTAGTGATCTGTCGGTTTATGACAGGTTCAGTGACCCAATCAAAATTTTAAATCGAGTGTCTCTCCAAGTTCCTCGATCTTGAGCCGTCCGTTTCAGCGTTTCATACCCTGTTGCTCCACATCCTGTGATTTCATCGTCTAGAAAGCCTTTACGAGGTCTTCCCCTCTTCTTCTTTCCATGAATACGACCTTCTATGACTGAGCATCAAGCCCTCATCATGCCACACTATGTGTCCAAGCCATTTCTTCTGTCTCTCTCTTATCGTTTGAATCAGCACCCGCTTTTCTTGAGCTCGATGCAACACCTCTTTATTCGAAAGTCACCTAGGGCAGCACATTTCTGAAATCATCGTAATTTGGGCTCTAATGGAACTATCTTCCGAGATCGAATGGTAGTCTTGAAAGGTAGAAGAATCACAACACAAAACTATCCCAAAATATGAATCTCGGGTGTGTTAATAATAATAATAATAGTTTGTTCTTGTATAGCGCATAATACTTAGTCTCTATGCACTTCCAAAGAGCTTCAGAATTATTACCCTAGCTTTAGCTCCGGCTACCAGGTGTGTTAAGATTGTTTCTGCTGAAGAAACTAAATATTCTTTCTATTGTTATTTATCTTCATTTCAGGTCGTGCGGGATGGGACAACTATCCGATCCTGCGTTACTTCATGGAGATGGTCATGACCAAGTAAGAATAAAAATCATAACTCTACACAGATTTTAGATTATTTCTGTAACCAACTTTGCCATCATCACTGATCGTAATTGAATTATACAGCCGATTTCAATAATGATTGAAATTGGTAAAGATGTTTTTTTTATAATTGTTTGCAATGATGAAACACACTCTGACACCCCTTCTGAAGGTATACAATGTTGATGAGTGAATCTGAGCATATTTTATCTTTAAATTGTTATTTTTTGTTGATTGACCATTTTGTAGCTTATCTTAAATATTACCTACAATAATTGAACAATGATAATTTGATATTGTCTTTACTTTGAAACAGCAATTTCAAATTTCCCATGGCAACTCGTGCTAAAGATGACAAGACGATAGAAGACCTGAAGAACCAGGAATTACAGGTAAGCCTGAACATTTCAATAACAGCTTGGAAAATAATGCTCAACTGCTCCATTTATCTACACTTTCCACATTTCTTTTTTCATGTGTTTTAATCCAAAATGTTTTGTCACTGTTTCGTGTTTCACTTAGATATGTTGGGAGACCCTAATGGTTTTGAATTGATTTGTATCATAGGTCAAAAAAATGAATATATTGAATATAGTAGTACTATATTAGATGCTGCTTGTAAGTATCGGCTTGCATGGTGATGTAGATATACAGTAGGCTTGCGGGTGCACCATGTGAGAGAGAGGGAGGATTAAGGAGTCCTGAAAAGGACTCGGTAATCTTTCTTGAGGGTGTGTAGTCCTGAAAAGGACTGTTGGTGTAGTCTTCCCTCTCTCTCACATGGTGCACCCGCAAGCCTACTGTATAGTACTATATTATCATTCTTTATTAAAATCATTCTTTCAAAAGAGGTATTATCGCCATATCCTAGACAATTAGTACCCTTGGAGGAGGGGGGGGGGGGTGCAGTGAAATGAGGATGTGCTTCTTCAAGTATTGGCTTTGACCAATAATCTTTGAAAGACAAATTTCTTATCAATGCCATGATGAAACTCACTCTGACACCCCTTCTGAAGTCCTATCACAATGTTGATGAGTGAATCTGAGCATATAACTCTTGTTGAACAAGAACTCAATATTTCATTGATAAGTTTTCCAATGTCCTGTGTTTCTGATAACGCTCTATGTGATGAATTTGAGTGCATCTTAGTTGCAATTTGTGGGTTATTATGTAGTTAGTATTATGCATAAATGTTGGTTTGACAATGTCCATGTACATTCTTATGATTTATAAACTGTGAAATTGTGCTTTCGACTTGTCTGAAAAATTGTCCTTGGACTGTGCAAGGGTGTGTGTTTCACTTTAACAAGTAGAAGCTGTGGGATTTCGAATTTTAGAATTGGACTGCACTTAATCTCTGGTGTGATACATAGATATTTTTTTTCTTAATGATGACTTGATAATTCATGAAACCTATCAATCATTCTATCTTTGGTGTTTGTGTACGTTCAAGTTTCAATTTTGCATTGTTAAAATATAGACATACATATAAAATATAAAATTATATAACACATGTAGTATAAATGAGCACGTCTCAATGATTCTCAATTCATATAATAGATTAAGTAGAATGTGAGGAACCTATTACAAAGCAGTGCTTGTATATTATAGGTTCCTGGAAAAATAAGTATTGTAGAAGAAAAAACTGTAGCAGTAGAGAAAGACGTAATTTAGAGGGGAGAAGCAAGCAATCCTTGAGTTTGAGAATCACCTTGCCAGGGTACAGATTATGGTGTGTTGATAATGATTTGTAGGTGACTCCGTTGAAGAACCAGGCCATTTTATAAATTTGAGAACCAGCATGCTTGGGTAAAGATCATGAGACCTAATAATCATCAAATTTTCGTTCTTTCTTTGTAGGTTGCTCAGCTCGAAAAGCAAGCAATCCTCGAGTTTGAGAACCTTCTTGCCAGGGTACAGATCATGGAGGGGAACAGTCTCCTGCTAACACAACTCATGAAGTTGGAGCCAAAGTAAGTCACTCTAAGTTAAAGAGATACCAAAGTAATTCATTTGAATAGAAATTTTAATGGTATATACACACATTTACTGTAAGGCAAAATGAGTATACAAAGCCATGCTCACTTCAGGCAGGCTCATTAATATTCATTTATTTCAGAATTCATATTCACAGTTTGTAGTACATGATGAAAGAATGTCAGATTTACATATATCTTGTTTGTAATAACAACCAGTCAGACTATCTTGGTTGACATCATAAGAAATGCCTGACATTAGGATTACTTGGGTCCCATCTTTTAAAGACAGTCAATACTACTGGGCCAGAAGGGATTAGACCACCCAGCCAGGTCACTGACAGGTGGCTATCTCATCAACTCAACTCTCAACTAACATAAGAAAAAGAGGATCATGGGGGACCAACAGGCACCAAGTTTTCTATATAGAGGGAGCAAGTAGCTACAAGTAGGACAGTAGGGCTTTAAAGAGTTGATTTTAATCGCAACTTATTTGCGATTGATAAAGAAAGTATGTACATGGGAGATGCATGTAGGAGACTGCAAACTTGCGATTGATCGGAAGACTAAAGATTGATCCAAATCAATCATAACTCTTTATAAGACGGGGGCCCTGGTATACCATTTTATGTAGTAAATGTTTTAATTTTAAAGGTTGTTTGCCTTCAGACTGGTGGTAACTGTTTCTGCATGACCTAATTCACCATCATCCTTTTTTCCATTTCTTGACAGTGGCCCTGTGCGGAGGCCTCCCATTCAGATCCTGGACCAGCTCCAGCACTACAACAAGGTGCTTCACCTGGGTCACATGCTGTGCAGGAGCAGGAACCCAGACTTTCTCCTTGACATCATCCAGAGTCAGGTGTGTAATAATAATAATAATATTTATAGGCATTTCTATAGCGCCATCTATCTAGAAATTCTATTCCAATGGTGCATTTATTATCACCCCGGCTTTAGCCTAGCTGCCATTATAGCGCTCTAGCATTTCAAGGAATTTGTTCCTGCCAGGTACCCAGTTACATCACCTGGATTGAGTGTGGCAAATGTAGATCGATGCCTTGCCAAAGGATATTATTGTCGTTTCGGGGATGGAACCACGGCCTTTGAATTTCAAGTCGAGTGCTCAAACCACTCGACTACGACAATTCTGGCGTAGTTCGAGTCTTGTTGGAAACATCCCTCAAGGGCAGTTGACCAAATAAACAACAAAAAATTTAGTGCAATTCTCAGTAACTGGTTGAATATAAAATGAGGGTTTGTTGAATAGGGTATACCAGTAAGTGGTGACAGTAGGAAGGTTGTTTTCTGGGCTGTTTGTTTGATCTATTTTCTCAGGTTTCATTATATTGTGCTCATTTCCACTTGAGATCCCTGTTTATTTTCTCCTCTCCCGTTTTCTTTCTATTTTCTCTCATACTCTCTTTCTTTTATCCTTTGTACTTTTGTAGGCAAACAATACTATTTGATAAAAAATTAATTTATTACTAAGTAAAAATAGAATGAAGAAAGGGAGGAAATGTATAGGATAACTATTGTAATATTTTGTTATTTGACTAAGACAGTGTGTCTGTATGCTATGATGAAACTCACTCTGACACCCCTTCTGAAGGCCTATGCCAATGTTGACAGAGTGAATCTGAGCAGGCTAATAGTTAAAATGATTACTTAGCTCTAGAATACTACATCCCCTGTATGCAAGTCTCAAAACAAAATTGCAGAGGGGTGAGTGATAGACAAGGGGGAGTTGTTCAGCATTAATTGAATTGGTGGTGTAGGTGCTTTAACATTTTTGTGTTACCAATCTTGAAATATAATGCTTCCAAGTCTTGATCAAAAACATTTGTGCCACAATCCATGCCATGGCTAGCTGAAATTCTTAACTGTACAGAGGGTTCCTCGGACATTCTCCCTATCCAGTACCTTTGTGAGTTCCACATCAACCAGTACCTATGAATAACCATACACTATCTATAACATCCCAAATAAAACCAACATCTTGAATGTTACAGGGCACTTCCCAATCCATGCCGTGGCTAGCTGAGCTGGTGAACTCTGCCGAGGGGTCCCTGGACGTCCTGCCTGTCCAGTGCCTCTGTGAGTTCCTCATAAACCAAGAGGCCGACAAGGATGGAGGGGGGTCAGATGGGGGAGAGAGCAGCTCGTCTTCTAAACAGGTAGGACAGGTTACTGCCTCAATTATTATACAGTCAAACCTGTCTATAGCGACCGCCCAAGGGAAACACTAAAAGTGGTCTTTGTAGACAGGTTCCTTCAGTACATGTTTCAACGAGAAACCATTTTCAAGGGAAACAAGAAATGTGGTCTTTGTAGACAGGTGGTCACTAAAGCAGGTTTGACTGTACAATACAACCTATGAAATTATCTGAGAAAAGCATCTGGGCATCGTTTCACAAACTGTCATAAGTTCACCGACATCCCACTGAAACATGTGTTAAATTTAATAAAAGTGTATCAATAGGTTGTCAGTGGACTTGTTCTTTTGATGGCTTCTTGAAACGATGCTCAGGAAAGTAAAATTGAACATTCCGTTCACTTCTGTAAATATATATATTTTCAAAGTTTATCCTATAATTGTTTGTCTCTTTGAAAAGTAACATAATGTCTTTCATTCATTTACCTCCTACTTATTTAGCAATATGCTCACTTTCACTTTTAAATAAAACCTTAAAAATCTGTTTTTCCTGATGATGTTATTTTATTCAAAGAATTCAACAGATTCCACTCTGCTAATGTTGTTTTTCTTCTCCTGACATGATTTATAAAAGCATAATTTTCTTAGAATTTGATTCTTTCTCACTGCCATCACGAATTATTTCCTCATGTTCTCTCTTACAGTAGTTTTCTCATGTATGTCATGATTATGAATTTTGATTACTTGTACTTAGAGTCACTTTTTGATAAATAAATGTTGAATGATATAACATAGGCTTGAGTCGGTACGGTCGATCACACCGGGACCCGACCGTTGCCGTCGGGTCCCGGTTTCGTTTTTTGAGAACCGACGCTCCGAAAAAAAATAATGAAATATGTAAGAAATTGCAGTTTTGCACACCACTAAAATCAATCCACCTTGAAACTTAAGTATTTAATTGTTACCAATCATATTCTAGCTCATCCTGAATCAATCCGAACTGCTGATATAAATATGGGTTGCAAAGCAGTTCGCCCCATGGGGTTGTTGTCGCCAGCTGCTAGCTACATGTAGCTACTGTACTGGCTGGGTCTCTCGACAGAATTAATAAATCAGGTTGAAAGAAAAATTAATGTTTGAATAATAAAACGACTTTCTAAAAAGTACTTCTTAACAACATACCGATCAAATAATTTTTAAAAGACAAAATAGATATTTTTTCTTTGATTTTGAACACCGCATGCTTCTTTTAAAAGCTGAAAATTACTTGGTAATCACAAGAAGTTTCGATACGGATAGCTGTTGCAAGGCAAGTTCAGACTAGTCTCGGAAAAATGCGCTGTGCTCCTCGTTAGCTGTAATGCGTGCCAGAACGAACCCAAACGAAGACGTGATCGTAACGAGAAAAAAATCATTAAAAACTACGAGAGCACAATTGGAAAGACAACTACTCAAAATTATCGTAAGCAGATACATAACTTGGAGGAAGAATACAATAATTGTCCAAGAAAAGCCACACAAATAGTGTATTTAAGGAGTTACTATAGGTACAATCATTATCGGAAGGGCCTGCTGCGATATATCCGAATTATACACGTGTTTGAATTGAACACGAGGCAAATACCGCCCTCTACGGTAAAAAGCAGTATAACACAGGATTCGAGTATTTGCAGCAGGCACCTTGCGATAAAAATGTACCCAGTTACTCCTTGATTATAACAATTTCTGTGGCATTTATTGGGCGATTATTGAATTCTTTGTTCAAGTTATGTATCTGATTATGGTAATTTTGAGCAGTAGTTGTCTTTCCAATTGTGCTCTCGTAGTTTTTAATGATTTTTTTCTCGTTACGATCACGTCTTTGTTTGGGTTCGTTCTAGCACGCATTACAGCTAACGAGGAGCACTGCGCATTTTCCCGAGACTAGTCTGAACTTGCCTTGCAACAGCTATTCGTATCGAAACTTCTTGTGATTACCAAGTAATTTTCAGCTTTTATAAAAAAGCATGCGATGTTTAAAATAAGAGATAAATATTTATTTTTGTCTTTAAAATATTATATGATCGGTATATTGTACAGAAGAATTTTTTAGAAAGCCGTTTTATTATTCTAACATTAATATTTTTTGACCAGATTTATTCAACCTGCATAAATCAAAATGGCGGCTCGAATGTTGTCTTTCTATTTCTGCCCCAGTTTTTTTACTTTTAGAGGCACGATAATGGCACTAAACATCGCCAATCATGGATGAAAATAATGTCAAATGGAAGAATATACCGATCTGAGCCGAGGTATGCATTTGTTGATATATTTGATTGATAAAAAAGGTCACTTTTAAGGGACATACTGATGATATGCGCTTTTTATAGAGGCAAGTGACAAATCCTGGGAGCTGATTTCGGGACACCGGGTCCCGATCGGTGCAAGGCCGTCGGGACCCGGTTTATGAAAATCCCGACATGACTCAGGCCTAATATAACACCAGGGGGATGTTTCACAAAGATCCGAAATTGAACTTATCTCTATTAGTTGGACTTAACTAATATGGAAAGCCGTTACATCATTGAAAATATTTTGTAAAAGTTATTTTAAAAGGCATAAAAAGTTGATTCAAATCATTCATGTTCTTGATGTGAAATTTATGGAATGTCTAAATACTTCAATTTTTGCTTTCAAATATATTTTACTTTAAAGTACTTATATATAAAGAAAACAATTAGTGGATAGTGATTTACATTGCATATAGTTTTATATACTTTTTTAAAAATTCATAACTTTCTTATCAGTTATCCGATTTTGCACAAACTTTTTTTGATTGGTTTGTCTGATTTTTCTGCTTCTATTGGAAATAAATTATTTTTGGAGTGGACTTGTACTTTAAGGCTACAAATGGCTCTCCATAATATATAAGTCCAACTTAGAGTTAAGTTTGACTTAGGATCTTTGTGAAACACCCCCCTGATTGGTTTGGTCTCTATTACTTTTGCACCTGTAGAAGGTCCACAAGCAGGAGCAGCTTCTGGCGCGGCTCCAGTCCCTGGTCTTCGACCCCAACACTGACCCGCGGAACACCTCCGAGGTCTTGGGCTACTTCCTCACCAGGCTGTCCTCCAAGCAGCAGTCAGCCAGGACGTTGGCTTCCAAGGTAAGGTCGTAGGTCAAAGTTCATTTCTTGCCTGAGGAATGTTTCATATTTTTATTATTTTCCCATTTCTTTCCAAGTTTGAAGAAAGTCTGTTGTTGTTTGATGGCCACTATGTTACCGGAAACTTTTGCATGCATGAAACCTATGTGAGTGGTACAGATTATTCACTAGTTTTATGTCGCGAAGGAACCAAAACACAACCCTCAATGTTTGCAATTCTCGCTACCCCAAATAGCGATTCTGCCGAGATCCGGGGAAAATCCTGAAAACGCGCATTGCATTATGGGATAGCTTTTCGACATTACAGCTTCCTGTGCAGGCGCTATATTACTAGGCGCGATAGCGCAAACGTAAAACGCCGTCGCCACACAACGTGTATGCATCGAATATGTCGTCTGCTCGGTCTTGTTTTTTTTTTCGCAAATATTTCAACGTTTATTTGAACATTTCATTCGTTGTTTTTTGCGTCTTTTGACATCAGTGACGATGGTTTTCTTTTGTGAGGCTGCACAGTGCTGGGCTCATGATTCCAAGCGTAAGAACCCTGAAAAATGGGGGTGGATGAAGGCCGTGACTTGGGTGAAATTTCCCACCGAAGCTGGAACACGAGCGACATGGCTGCGCTTGATTCGCCGCAAGGACAAAGTGAATTTGACCAAAAAATCGCGGCTTTGTTCGAGACATTTCGATAAGGAGCAGATTGATCCAGATGGTTATGCCAAAGGCTATCCCAAATACTTTTTCTGGAATAATTTTGGTCTCTGCACAGCGAACACAGGCGCTAGTGCCAGCGGGATGGGACTCTATACCGGAAGTTGTAGTGACGACCCGAGAGAGTGAAAATTACCTCGTCTCGCGAATTTCGAGATTTTCGTACCTATTTAGGGTAGCGAGAATTCACTGAAGTTTCATGCTGCAAAATCGATATTTTAAGCAGTTGGGGTGAAAGTTTAATTATACATCTCTTGGATGATATTAAAAAAGTTCTTCTTTGTTTTCAATGAGAGTAATTTTGGGGGGTTAAGTCTGTATTTTTGTTTTCCATTGTTATTATGTATTGTTAGTCAGTATGTACATTTTGTTGTGAGAATTTACTCATTCTTCTCTCTCGTGCATTTCTCTAGGGGCTTGCCATGGTCTTGTCCCCAAGGTCGGGGGAGGATGCTATGGAGGTGGAAGAGCCTTCAGAATCTGATTCTCCATTGTCATCACACAAGTGGCTCTTACAAGATGTGCCTGCCATCCCCAACTTTGAGACCGTCAAGAGCCAGGCCACCACAGCGCTCAGAAGTGTAAGCTTCTCATATTGATAATGATAGTAATAATAATACAAATGATGATAATAGCGACATTTCTTATGTGCTCATATCCACCCCAAGGAATGCTCAAGGCATGTAACACAATATGTACAAAACAAACAGATAAGAAAATAACATAACAAACAGAAAATACAGATAATAATTAGAAAAATAAATTAAGTGAAAAATGTTGACATAAGATTAGTTTTTCAAGTTTCTTTGAAACAGTTTGAGAGTGGGTGAGATACAGATTAAACCTTGTTGGTTTAAAAGACAAGGGAGTTAAATGGACAGGATAACTATTATAATATTTTGTTATGGACTAAGACAGTGATGTCTGTATGCTATGATGAAACTCACTCTGACACCCCTTCTGAAGTCCTATCACAATGTTGATGAGTGAATCTGAGCATCTCAAGTCACTTACCAAAAGTGAAGCAAGATAAATATATCATATATTTCTTCTTGTTATAAAGCTTGTCTCCACAAATAATGATTCATTTCTGCTTCTCCATCAATCAGGGGCGTCAAATGACACCGACCCTCGGGCCGTCAGTGCCTACATCATCTTCCTATCCCAAGATATCATATAAATATTATATATTTCTTCTGGTTATAAAGCTCGTCTCAATAAACCGTCCCTATTTTCACGAAGTAACGGTAGTGAATGAAAATCGCATACATTTTCCGTGCAGATTTTCCTCACTACCGTCACTTCGTGAAAACAGGAACAAAATAATGAATAACTTCTGCTTCTCAATCAGGCATGCCAAATCGACACCGACCCTCGAGCCGTCAGCGCCTACATCATCTTCCTCTCCCACCACGTCTTGCCTGCCGACCTCAACGAACTGGCCCAGGACCTCGCTCAGCTCATCGTGGAGCGGCCGACCATGCTGACCTGCATCCTGCCACACGAGGGCGCCTCACCGGCCGGGGACGAGACGTTGGCCGCGATGCTGCGTATCTTCAGCAACTATGTCATCAAGGCGATCAAGTCTACAGACGAGGAGGAGGGTTATAGATGGGTAAGAACAGGCTTATAAAACACTTCATGTTTTGGTTTGCCAATGTGAGTGTGTAATAGACTACCTTGTAATATTTATTCATTTTAATACACTGTGATAAGAACTCTTTAACATAAAAACAAAGTTATTGTTATAATCTGTTGTATCCCCATTTTTGCTGCAATTGATTGTATCTTATAGCGAAACATTGATTTTAAGGTACTGAGCATTGTAAAGATTTTAAGTGATTAACGGTAGTATTATAAATTTTGGGGAGTACATTCAATTGATACTCTTTATTTTAACAATACATAGTTGTTGTATATGAGTACTTGGTAGGCTTTATTCTTTGTAACACACTGGGCAATAAGAACTGCTAAAGCTACACATACACTAGTTTCAACAATCACAATTTCTGTTTTCCTAACGGTTTTTATAACACTACAGTCTATTGGGGAATATGAGTATGGTAAAACCAGTCACTCAAAATTTTTTAATTTTTTGAGGCACTTCATGATCATTTTGAAGCGCAATTTTTTTAGGGCTTTTTTATTACACCATATCACAGACACTGATAACACGTAGGGCCATGCATCTCAGATTTTACATTGTTAAAGATAAACTTGAGTTCCGGTAAAAAAAAAAAAAATGAATTCTCACAGAATCTAACGAAATTTACACTGAATGTTCAAGATTACAAATAAATGTCATGTGCCAAACAATTTTGGAAGAAAATGTATACTGGCTGAGTAATGAGCGTAAAAAGATAAGGAAATCAAGGTAGTACTAGCCCCGACGCCATTTGTGTTGTCCCATATACATCTTTCTGTGTACAGTGATTGTTACTTTACCAAGACTGGGCCAAATTTATGATGATTTCGATGACTCCAGATCCTTGCATTACACACCAATACTTAAATGCTAGATGATCAACTTTTCTGATCTATTCCACACCTTTTCTTTCACAATGCAATCGCATGACCATAACTGGTCTTTATCTTTATACGATGCCTTTATTGTTTTGTTTAGTCTGAGTCTCAGGACCAGGTCTTCCTACGTTGGCACAGTGGGGAGTCAGCCACCATGCACATCCTGGTCGTCCATGCAATGATCATCCTACTCACGTATGGAGAACCTAAAGGTATTTATTATATATACATCCAATTAGTAGCTTTGAAGGATCAATGACTGCTCTTTAAAGGGTATAGGTAGACCTTTGCTGTAATTAGGGCTTGGGTCCTTGGGCAAATGCTCTCGTGAAACTCAAAATGGCTCCATTTTTTATTTTTTATTCATTTTCATAAGGCTCTAACAAAAAAGTTGTTGTATTGCCCTTTGCAACTATATGTTAAAGTCTAAGGTCAGCTTTTTATTAAAGTTTTTTTTTTACAATTTTTTTAGAAAAAAAAATGTTTAATGAATCAAAAAATATGTATTAAAGCCTTCCAAACTGAAAAATATCGGCCCAAAGAGGGGGAAAAAAAGAAGAATATAAAAAACAACGACCCAGTTGCTGGCACCTAAAGCGCAATAAAACATCTTTTTTTAAGGCCTAATTCCAGGAAAGAACCCCCTTTAACTTCCAACTTTTATTGAAAATGACCCTACATAAGTGTTGTGTGGATCTCTGCTGTTTGTGTTGTACTATTCACTTTCTCATGTTATAATTATGTTTTCTTCCTCAGCAAATATTTATATACAATGAATACTTGTCTCGTGTTTCCCAAGCCCACTGTATCGGTTGCCTTGAGCATTGTTCCTTACTGAAATCTTAGTCAAAACAATCACCTTAAAGTCCCACTACACTGCTTATAGCTACATGTACTTGTGCCCTCTATATAGCAAACAATGCCTAATTGGTGACCATTGGTCCCCCATGGTCCCCTTTTTCTTATGTTAATTAATAGCTGATTTGATGAGATAACATCAGTGACCATGCAGGGAGGTCTAATCCCTCCTGGCCAAATTAATACAGATGGGCTTTAAAGAATATCTGGATTCCCTCAGTTGATTTGCGTATCTGGTTAACTAAACTTTCTTTATCTACACCCCTCTCCCTCCCCCTCTCACAGTGAAGAGTGAGTTCATGTACCTACTCGGCACATGGTGTCCTGGTAACGCCCCGCCCCCTTCGGCATACCTGGTGGATACATCTGAAGAGGCCCTTCTGCTTCCTGATTGGCTCAAGCTTCGGATGATCAGGTCAAGTGTCGATCAGCTCGTCATTGCTGGTAAGTGTCTAAAACAAACCTACTTTTAGTTGTCAGATTCATGTCAGAAGTCTGTGGTGAGAGTAGTATTTTCTTTTTTGTCAGGATTTTTAATGATGATTAAAGTGATGTAATGCACCTGTGTGATATGTATTTTATATTCTTTTGAAAGAAGCACAAGGTAAATGATCCCAATGTTATTTTATGATTGAAATGAACGCTCAAGAGACATTTCAATCAAGTATGACAGAAAGATATGATTGAATTTAATTTAATCATTTGTGAGAAGATGATGATGTTCGATAATTAAAGGGATAGTTGAGTTCTGTTGCAGAGGGCGCTATACAAAATGATTTGTTTGTGAGATAATGAAAAACTGAGTGTCAAATTTGAAAGAACATAATATTTAAATGACAAATTCATCTTTGTTTGATCAAAATCGGTTCAGAGACGGCTGAAATATCCATAAATATAACAATTTTGTACCACCATAAATATTAGATATTTTGACAAATTTGAAAAAAACCGTTGAAAAAACGAAATAACGGCTTTTACGTCGTATTTCAGCCAATGCCGCTGTGTCTTTTTTGTTGGCATTTTCGTGTTGCTTATATTAAGCACAACCAGCCGGACCATGTACTGTTATTTTTAATTAAAAAATTAATTAATGGTCGCCATGTTTTTTTTTAAGTGGAGCTGGTATTGGTATGATCGTATTGGCTAAATTAACACATTTTGTGGTCTAAAATTAACCATTCATAGAAATTTTAGGTTCTAAAAGGGCACTAGAAATGACATAGATAAGAATAAGAGCAATAACCATGCACTTTGAAGGCATTTGCGGTCTGAAAACAGAACTCAACTATCCCTTTAAGAGATAATTTGCCATAGTCCTGAATATTGAATTCATGTGTAATACAAAATGAGTTGTAAGTGAAGTAAATGATGTGTGAGATCTGAGTAATAGTGTGATAATAGAGAAAATATTTACATGTTGTGTATGTGATGTATTTCCTTCTCAGCTCTTCAAGACTTGGAACCAGCTCAGCTAGTCTTGTTCATCCAGTCTTTTGGTATCCCTGTTCAAAGTATGAGGTAGGTCAGATATTTTTAGCCAACTTTCATGGATATTGGGTTGTTGAGAGATTAGAATAGTCTGGAGTACTAGGACCTGTTTCACAAAGCCTTTTTTCAATGACAAAATTTCAGTGACAAATAATCTTTAAAAGACAAATTTCTTATCAATGCCATGATGAAACTCACTCTGACACCCCTTCTGAAGTCCTATCACAATGTTGATGAGTGAATCTGAGCATATAACTCTTCTTCTACAAGAATCCAATATTTCATTGATAATTTTTTCCTATTTCACATTTCTTGTGTCCAGTCAAGAAGGGTTTTCAAATAAACCAGTACAGGGACCCGTTTCACAAAGCCTTTTTTCAATGACAAAAATCAGTGACAAATCTGTTGATAACCAATTAGAAGCAAGGATTTTACTAGCTTATAACAACAATTGTCATTTGTCACTGATGACCAGGATGACAAGTTTTGTGAAATTAGGCCCAGGGCCCATGTTCAATTCAATACTTAAGTACAAAATGTAAGCCTTTTACTTAGTATTTGGCTTAGATAAATACTTAGCCAATTTTGGTATTCAATTCACACTTTTGGCTAAGTATTTAACTCTAAATCTAAGCCAACTCCATGCCAGACTTAAGTCAATTATTTGGAGGCCTTGAGTGGCAGGCATTGGTTTTCTTACGCAGTATTATAACCTGCGCCCAATTATATCAGCGCGCATTTATTGCAATGCATCAATTGCACATTACTTTTGATTGACCGTGTGACATCACGATGCTTATCAGTAAGTATTTACTTAGATTTTGTCTTAGGTAAGTATAAGTCTAAAATGGGATTTGAATACTTTGTAAATTTCTTACTTAAGCTAAGTATTGAGTTGAATACCGGCCCAGGTGTACAGGTAATTCTTGATTACTCACTACCCTACTCCCTACCATTTTGGCTTCACATGGGCCATTGAATTATCAAGTTGTTACTAGCCTAATCATAGTCCTAATTGGCTGATTTCTCAGTGACTCCACATTCTGTATGAAATCCATATCGATGATATTAATTTTTTTTTTTTTTAATATAAATATTTGGTGGATATGTTTCTGAATAGTGTGAATACATTGCACCTTATTTAACCTCATTCATGCAGAATTCAATATTATCTGTAATATACACAATTCAATCATTTCTTTTATTCCATCATTTCTCTTATAAGAGTATTCAATATTGTTGATGATTTGTTGTTTACATTGCTATTGAATTTATTAAAGCCCCTCTAAAGTGTTGGGAGCCAAAAAGTTGATTGCAGAATTTCACTTAAGTTGTATCATAATGTGAAAGAGGATTTCACTTAAATTGTTTCATAGTGAAGAGGATTTCATTTATGACAAACTTCTGTTGTACGCAGAAAACATAAACTTTGTGTTCTTTCATCAATATTTGACTTCAAACACATTTTTTTTTTTAAATCGTTGCCGAAATGTGTCTTAAATGAAATCCTCTATCACATTATGATACAATTTAAGTGAAATTTTGCCATCAAATTTTTGAGGCTACCAATAATTTAGAGGCGGTTTAAATTTTTCATTCAATATCATTCCATTATCTACGGTTCTACCCCTTCAACCACCCTACAGCAAGTTACTAGCCCACCTGGATGCGGCGGTCGTCCAGATGCCCCAGGCCATGGATGCTGCGGTGGTAGACAAGTCTTACATGGCACAGCTGGTCGAGGTCCAGCAGATGAGAGGGGCTCAGGGGGGCTACCAGTTCCTAGGGCTACTCAATCACCAACCTAAAGAAGAAGAGAAAGGTAAATCAGAGGATACATGATTCAGAATTTCTAGTAAATGAGTGGAGAACATTTTTTTTAATTATAGACTGGGCTTGAGCGGTACATCAGAAATATTGACCAAGCTCAGATCATATTGCCCCGAGTTGAAGATGAGGGCAATATGGTCTTAGCGCAGTCAATATTTTTGATGTACCGCGAAAGAAGCCCTGTCAATATAATTATTATTACCAATATACAAGGCATTTTTTTTGTTTTTTGTGTAAGATGTTAATCACTTGCTGTCTAATTCTTATATATACTTCCTTTGCTGATAATAACCACCTTTCTGCAATGGTATCCTTCATTTTATATTGTCGCAATACATATTATCCCTTATCGATACGTCTGCCATACATGTACTAGGTGGAAAGCACTTTAAAAGCACCATTAAATTATAATTGTTATTTTGCCATTCGTTTCGCTCTAAACAGAAGATGAAAAGGCCATGGAAGTATCAGACTCGGAGCAAGAGAAGAAGCCCACTTTGGACCAGACAATATTGAAGGATATCCAGGACCAGGACCAGCTCAAGAACCTGGTCCTGAAGCTTGTAGACCTTCCCCAAGCCACCACCATGCCAGACAAGAGGGACATCTGGAGAAACATGCAAAAGGTAAGATTATATTGCACCCCCCCCCCCCCCCCCCCCCCCCCCCCCCCCCCCCCCCCCCGTAGTATGAAAAATAATGATCTTGCCCTCATGTTTTAAAAACTTGGGTTTCCTGTGGGTACGCTACTTTTTCTGTCCTTGTTACTACTGTAGTGCATCTTTTCTACAACTAGTACTAGCAGGCCTGATAAGTACTCTTTAAATCGGTTTCCCAATTTTATTTTTTATTTTTCTTCTTTCTTTCCCCCCTGATTTTTCTTTTTTCCTTTTTTTTTCCTCCAATTTTTGTTCCTTCTTTTTCTTTTTTCTTTTCCCCTTCTTTTCCCAATTTTTCCCCAATTTCCTTACTCAAAAGAGGGGAATGTTGTTAGATGCCATTTTTTTTTTAATTTCAAGGGAGGGGAGGTGGGGTGGGGGGGGGGGGGTTGAGGGGGAAAAAAATCACCCATGTAATAGACCCTTTGGTTATCAGTGGTCAACTATAGCTCAAATGCAGCCACTGATTTGTGTGGAAAAGTCTCAATAGAACAGCTTGTCAACTTTTTGCATGTGAAGCTACGTCGTAACTCTGGTTTGATTTGCAATCTCTGTCAGTTAATTTGTCTTTAATGGAATACGATTGAATTAAAGATAGTCTTTTAACCTTTCCCTCCAAGGGATTCTTGGAAATGAAGATGCTATGATGAAACTCACTCTGACACCCCTTCTGAAGTCCTATCACAATGTTGATGAGTGAATCTGAGCATATTTATACTCTAGTCTCAAGTCACCTACCAAAAGTGAAGCTAGATGAAATTATACCATTTCACTTGCCACAGAAATCTTTGCTTTTGCTAGTAAAATTGATGTACAGTCAAACCTGTCTATAGCGACCGCCCAAGGGAAATACAAAAAGTGGCCTTTGTAGACAGGTGGTCTTTCCGGCTGGAATGCTCCCCAGGGAGTTGAGATTGTGCACACAGTGTGTGCGGACAAGCACTGAATCCAATGACCGGGGTAATAGTATATTTGTAAAGTGCTTAGAGACATTTGTATTAAGCGCTATATAACAATTAAATATTATTATTATTATTATTTGTAGACAAGTTCCCTTAGTACTTGATTCAATGAGAAACCATTTTCAAGGGAAACAACAAATGTGGCCTTTGTAGACAGGTGGTCTTTGTAGACAGGTGGTCTTTGTAGACAGGTGGTCACTAAAGCAGGTTTGACTGTATTCTATTTGTGTATTTTACAGTTTCAGTTTGACTCAAATTCAATCTCAAACATGGTACAAGAATGGTAAATGTTGCCCAGCATTCTTCAATCGCTTTGTCTTAATTCCTTTGTATTTACAGGCTATGCTGAAAGAGAGAGGAGTTGGTGACCCTGGTCAAACGCTGTGCTGTCGACTAATCCAAGCACTGCGCTCTATTCTCACTGGTGACCAGACAGAGACCTTCATTGAAGCCATCCTTGAGCACCCTAGCTATCCATGCTCTCTTCTCAAGCACATGGCATCTGTGCAAGTAAGTATGGTGGAATTACATCAAAGGGGAATACCCTAAAGTGAGGTATTGACATGAATATTCATGAGTTTAAGGTAATTTCTTAGTGATGATCTTTTGAAGATGTTGATTATTTTGAGCTCAATTTGCATACCTTAGCTACCCACGTGTTGTACTAAAAAATATGGCATCTATACAGGAATGATAATAATAGCTCATTCTTATATAGCACTTTTTAGGATCGCAGTCCCTCTCAAAGTGCTTTACAGATATATATTATTACCCCGGTCATCGGATTCAGGCTTACCCGCACATATGTATGCACATTCTCCACTCCCTTGGAAGCATTCCAGCCAGGTGTCATTTTTACAAGCGCATACTTGCTAATCTATCCACATTAGCTTTTGCATCCTACCAGGTACCCATTTAACACTTAATACCTAGTTGGAGAGTGGCAAATGTACATCAGTGTCTTGCCAAAGGATATTAGTGCCACAGAGGGACTTGAACCGCGGACCTTTTGATCCACAGTCCGGTGACATATCCACTTGACCACAACACATCTGTAGTGTGTATGCTATGATGAAACTCACTCTGACACCCCTTCTGAAGGCACATCCCAATGCTGATGAGTGAATCTGAGCATTTTTCTGAAATCAACAAAGGCATCAGAACACATACTTGTATTTGGTGTATAACATTAATCATATAAATCAGTTTTGCTAATATCATCTGTTGAAATGAGAGTTTGATAGGGGTTAGCAATATATCAAATACAGTGAAACCTGTCTGTAAAGACCACCCAAGGGAGACAAGAAAAGTGGTCTTTATAGGCAGGTGGTCTTTATGTACAGGTTCCTTTAGTACATGTTTCAATGAGAAACCATTTTCAAGGGAAATAAAACATGTGGTCTCTGTAGACGGGTGGTCTTTCTATACAGGTGGTCACTAAACCAGGTGTGACTGTACATGAGCCCTTCTGGCTCATATCAGACAATCAGTGTAATGTATCGCTTTAAAGGTAATACATAGGGTAACGTTTAGTAGGTTGGGTGGGGGAGCGGAGCTAATCTCCCGTTTATAATTGTATGAATTTAGTCAAGAGAACCTTGATGAACAATCTTAAAGCCCCACTGCCTACTTATAGCTACTTGCGCCCTCTTTTTAGCAAACAATGCCTAATCGGTGCCTGTTTGTCCCCCATGATCCCCTTTTTCTTATGAAAATTGAGAGTTGATTTGATGAGATAACCACCTGTCGGTGACCTTACAGGTTGGTATGATTCCTCCCCTGACCAAACTAGTACAGACGGGCTTTAATGAGTACTCATGATTATATCCTACCTCTTGTACTCTTTCATTTTCTGAAGGAGAGGAAAACACCAAAGTCATCTCAATCAGACTTCATCGCCCTTCTTGAGATGCTACAAGGCACACTGCCCTCTACTGGCCAGCTAGTGTCAACCATCAAGGCCTGCATGCGGAGAGTTAAAGCAGGAACGAGAAGCCGACCAGAGAAAATGGGAGAAGGGGATGAGGCGCGCAGCCTGGAGAAAGGTTAGTGCGGTGTTCATTGAGTTGTTTCTTTTTATGACTGTTGATATCTTGTGAATGTGTTGACAGAATTTATGCTACTATCTCCTAGGGTCCATTTTTTATTTCTTAGCACATTTTTTTGTTTCTTAGTACATGTAGTGTATGTGTTTGTGCTGATGATTTGTTTAATGACATTGCTGCATCCTTTGTCAGAAAGAGGAGATTTTGTAAAGAAACATGTGATATGATGAAACTCACTCTGACACCCCTTCTGAAGGCATATCCCAATGTTGATGAGTGAATCTGAGCACATACATTTGATGTGGATTGTTATAGATGGAATTTTTGGAAAGTAGTGGGGAAGGATGACTTGATTCATAGAATAGTTTTCAAGGTAGACGTAAACAATGTTATCCCCTTGCTGTTTAAGGTACAGCCTCACCGTTCCTTTAGTGCAAGTTGAAAGTTACATTTGAGTACCGGTAATCTTTTATATTCCCTCTAGTCGCACAAGTGATATAAGATTAATTGGTCAATATTTGCTCTCCCTTTCTTTCTCTCTCTCTTATCTAACATGTACAGAAATGTTGAAGCCTCCGTCCCAAAGAAACCATCTTGAAGACTTATTGGAGGAATGCCTGGGAAGAAATGCAAACAAACAGACCCTGAACGCACATGCTCGAGCGAGCATGCTTACCAGGCTCATGCACCAGGAGTCTGATAGAAAAGATTCAGGGTTCAGGTAAAAATCTAGCCTCCTTATTGACTTCATATGCAATCAAATTAAATGAGTTCAAACAGTGATTGTATTTGCTTTGTTCTTCAAAATGTTGGTATAATGGAGAGAAAAAAAACCTGTATTGATGACGTTTGTAGTGGCCCAGTGATAATGAATTTCATAATTGAATTTGGTGAGTTTTAGAGACTAATTAAAACAATTGTCATCGATCGATTTCGATACCTTGTCCCGCATGTCCATGTCTATGTTTGGTTCAGGTAGTATATGCATTCTTTAATCATTTCTTGTAGATTTATAAACACATTGTTTAATTAACGAAACAAGGCAATGATGTATGTAACATGTGCATTGATGAAACTCACTCTGACACCCCGTCTGAAGGCCTATCCAGTGTTGATTAGTGAATCTGAGCATATAAACTTGATGTAGATTAAAGTAGTGGAAAAGGATGAATGGGTGCCTATTCGATCCACAGAATAGTTTTAAAGACTTCCAAAGTACTACACGTTCTACTACACTCAAATTCTTTTTGTTCCAATAAAAATGTAATTATCCCATAAAATTGGAATGATTTATTTTGAAAATTACCAATATGGACATTTTCTTGACATTCATCCTCACCCGGGGGTTGTTTCACAAAGATGCTAATTTGAACTTATCTCTAAGTTGGACTTAACTATTATGGAAAGCCGTTAGCATCTTTGAAAATAGTGGAATTTATGTAAACTCTAAAATACTTGAATTTTTGCTTTCGAACATATTTTATTTTAAGGCTACAAATGGCTCTCCATAATTTTGAAGTCCAACTTTCAGTTAAGTTCGACTTAGAATCTATGTGAAATACCCTCCAGAACTCAGTTTACCTTGAAATGCATTAACATGTATACACTACTTTAAATCTTCTTCCACCAATAGCTCCTCAAAGACACAAACCTCGACCTGCGGCCTGCTCATGGACTGGCTGACCCGCATCGACCCGGAGGTCATAAGGTCGTGCCCTGACATCCAGGAAGAGGTCATGTTTAGGTCCAGGACCCTTCCAGTGAAGGACGCAGGGAAGGTCGCGGACTCCAGCGGTGATGGTCCTGGTACTGGTAGCGGAGGGAGTGGCTACCTCTTGGCCTTATTGACCCATCAGACTAGCTGGGACACACTGCATAGCTGCATCAGCTTCCTCCTGGGAAGGGAGGATGCGGTGGAGAGGTAAATGATGGGATTGAGATGTTGACCAGTTCAAGAAATTACTCATGTCACATCTATTCTGCTAGAAATTACTTTATTACCAGCTTACATATACTTTACTGATCTCTGAGAAGTGTCTCTTTTGTTTTTAAGTGGCCCAAACATTGTGGAGCGTGTGTGCAGCGCTTTGTAACTGCAAGAAAAAGGCGCTATATCAAGTATCTTTTTGATTGGATATCACTGCCTTTGTATCGTGTGTCTATATCATAGAATAATATTAGAGACTGTCTCCTCGCCTGAAATATTTTATTTGTGAGTTTGAGAACAGAAATTATTAGACATATTCCATCAATGAAAATGTAGATATTTAAAAGAACAGAGTCACAGACATCGCCCAAATGGACTGGATATGCAGTATTGTTTGGTTTCAAAATCTCCTTTGATTATACAACTTGAATTGGTGGTCTACAGGATTGGACTGGATTGAATTGAATAGTTGATTGACATCACATTGAAATGTGCATTTCTTCCATTGATCTATGATTTGATCCTACTTAAAGAGAAGGATGAGTTCTGGGAAGAGGAGAAAAATAATTTGTGAGCATTATCATTGTTATTATGCAAATGTGGAAGAACATCAGATAAAAAAAGAGCCTGAAAACATGGCTCTTCAGATGCCTTGATATTTTGAATATGGCATGTCAGAGCATAACAATCGGGACAGATTTTTATTCCACATGTTTGTATAGTCCCATATACATCTTTCTGTGTACAGTGCTTGTAACTTTACTAAGACTAGGCCAAATTTCTTATTATATTGATGATTCCAGAACCTTGCAGTACACACCAATACTTATATGCTAGATGATCAACTTTTTCTGATCGATTCCACACCGTTTCTTTCACAATGCAATCGCATGACTAGAACTCAACTTCATCTTTAAAATGTGTCTCTTCTGTGTTTTCTTTCGTGTCTAGACTTGATTCTACAGCCGTGCTAGACTTCCTCTGGGCCTGTGTTCATATACCCAAGATATGGCAAGGGAGAGACACCAAAGCACCCAAGGTCAGTCATGTGATCATAGGAAATTAGCCAATCACAATGGCCTGTATTCTTCCAAACAAGTTTTACCTGACACAGTCTTAAAGTGACTCAGTAACATTGTCTCATACTCTTAAACAAAATCCTGGATTTAGCTCATGATGCGATGATAATTATAAACCTTTAGGTCAGTCAGGAACCCCATGACATTTACAAGCCAATTGCCTGTCTGATTATCAAGATCTTCATGATTGGAAAGCGAAATCAAATTTTCTGTTTTCCTAACAGTTTTCATTACACTGCAGTCTATTGGGGAAAATGAGTATGGTAAAACGGGTCACTCAAAGATTTTTACTTTTTTGAGGCACTATGTGATCATTTTGAAGCACAATTTTTTATTAGGGCTTCAATATTACACCATATCTGATCACATGTAGGGCCATGCATCTCAGATTTCACATTGTTAAACGATGCCTTTAAAGCTGAAACCCAATGTCAGATTGAAGGTCTTTGTCGAACTGGGAACCAGACATTCTGTCTCTATGCCTAGCGTTACTATTGTAAAGTTCTAAGCCCACATGCTCCCTGTATTCGACGATGACCAAATATTTTAAATTTATGCTATGATGAAACTCACTCTGACACCCCTTCTGAAGGCACAGCCCAATGCTGATGAGTGAATCTGAGCATTCCACCTTTCAACGAGGGTAGTTTTTTCTGTTCTGAAAAAATTGACCAGTGTACAGTTTTGCATTTGCTTCCAACACTGTATTTCAATGAGCCTTTCATTTTCAAATCCGCTATTTTGCACCCGCTATTTTGCCTGCAAGTGTGAGGTGTGCCCAATTTGAAGACGTTTGTTAAGGCTTGTTCATAAAGACGGGGGAAACTGCTGCAAAAAAGCTACCGCATCCTGACGCATTTTGTTTGTTTAAATAGAACTAAATGACAACCGCATGCAACAAAGGCCCTACACGTGTTCACTGAGCTTTGTGTTATAAGTTATAGAAACGTGAAGCGTAATACACTTAAAGGTAAAGACCAGTTATGGTCATGCGATTGCATTGTGAAAGAAACGTTGTGGAATCGATCAGAAAAGGTTGATCATCTAGCATCTAGCATCTGCAAGGTTCTGGAATCATCAAAATGATAAGAAATTTGGCCCATTCTTTGTAAAGTTACAAGCACTATACACAGAAAGATGTATATGGGACTACCCTATATCTCTCACAGACCATGAGAGAAACAAATTTACCAAATATATGAATTAGTAGGCGGTTTTCCGGCAAATTTTGTATCATCATGTATTAGTCAAAACATATTCTTTTACATGATTGGTAATGAGAGCTTCCATTTCATTTTTTGAAGTTGGTGCGTTTCCAATACTGGTCTTTACCTTTAACATCATTAAAAAAAAACATTTTTGCCGCATCATATTTGATCAAGGCTTTACTTTGCCTGATCAGGACTTGTCCTCACACAAGGTGATAAACCAACTCAGTCAATTGGAAATCGCTTCATTGGTAAATGCATCACTCTGCATATATTAAAGGCCCACTGTACTACTTGTAGCTACTTGCTCCCTTTATAGAAAGCAATGCCTAATCGGTGACCATTGGTCCCCCATGATCCTCTTTTTGATGAGATAGGGACCTGTCAGTGACCTTCCCGGGTAGTCTTATCCCTCCTAGCCAAAAAAGTACAGATGGCCTTTAATAGGCATTGTCACTGTGGAGGTGTCCTGCCTAGCTCAATTTGTTTCACCGGTGTGGCATTTTGTGTTGCGTGTGCATGCTGAGTCTTGTGATTTATTGTGTACCATGCCGTTTCATTCACAGAGATATGCTGACGAGAACATCCTCATGATAGTCCCTCGACAGCTCTGCACCTTGGCCGACTTCATCATCACAGAATGCCAGACGATGACATCCTCCGCCCTCACCATCCCGTCCTCACCGACCTCCTCCAGTAGAGCGGCTGGCGATGGGGCAAGCAGGGGCGGCTGTCCTTCGCCGTCTGCCAGGTTGCCCTTGCTTCTGAACTGTTGCAGAGGCAGCGCAGAGCTGATCGGGTCTCTGGTGGAGCATCTCAGCAGGAAAGCTCAAGAGATGAGGTGAGTGTTGCAGGTGCTCTGATTTCTGGTGTATTTGGATTGCATTAAAAATAGTTCTGTGGGAACCATATGCTCAATGTGCTTTCAAATTTCTGAGGATAAAAGTAATTTTTCCTTCTCGAAGCAAAATCAGCCGATCAGGTTGTGTGGCATTATGGTCAGTGAGATAATATGAGAACAAATGCAGAGGGCAATATTTTATTCATTTTTAAAGAAATAAAATCTGTAGACCCATACAGTAAATTTCATCTTTGTTTTGTTGATTTACTAAGTAGATAAAGAAAACAAATCTATCCATGTAGTTTACACAAAAATGGGATCTGGAATTTTGAGAGATGGTGTAAATGAAGATGCTATGATGAAACTCACTCTGACACCCCTTCTGAAGGCCTTTATCAATGTTGATGAGTGAATCTGAGCATCCTAATGGCCCATCCTAACTTACTCAAGTGGGAGGGGCAGGAATTTCTTTTACATTTTAGCTTTCGAATATGCGAGTTCACGGTTGCAGTCTGAGCATGAGCAGATAAAGGTTATTGGAGAACAAATTGTGAAATACACTGATACAAAATACTGGATACGTGCTCCTGAAAGTTATGTTATCATTATTATTTTATGCACAAGCAGTGCACTCCATGATACACAGGTGGAATTATTCTTTGTAAAGGGAAAACAAACTTGGGCTATTTATGTGGCACCTCCAACCCTGTAGGAGTGATTATTTCAAAATGTACAAAGTGGGACCTCTTCATGTTCTGAAGATCTGTGGATGTTTGGGGTCATGTGGGACATGTGCTAAATGTAAACTGGTCTATTGTATGCCAACAACATGGTAACAAATGCTTTTGTCATATTTTAGATTCCTTAAATCTTTAGAGATTTCTTTTGCAATTGGTGGCAGGTTTAACCTTGATAAAAGCTGACATTCATAAGGGGCTGTTCAAACTGGGCCTTCTTTTGCTTCCACCTTGCATTTTTGTCCTGGGCATAGTTTGATGGTTTTGATTTCTCCTGAGTTGGTCGTCATCCTAAGAAGATAATCAATTCTTGCAGCTGAATAAGTACTTTTTGTGTTTGTTTATGCCATTGTCGGGCTGTAATCCTTCTTTCTGAACTATAAAATAAAAGTGTTGACATAAATATGATTTTTTTTTTTTTTTTTTTTTTTTTACATCAGTACATCTGGTAGTCTGTACCAGAATCTTCTCATTGAGGTCTACATTCAGATGCCTAAGGCTCTGGAAAAATTCATGGAGGACATCTCGACTGCTGGATACCGGCCCCACGGCATCGGTGCATCCAGCTATATTGATGCACTGGTTCACAGGTAAGACGGTACTTCATTTAGATTTTAAACCAAAAGTGAAAATCACTATTGGATCAATTCCTGTTGTGTCTTTCCACCGCAGATATATAAAGTACATGGTGTTTCAGGTGTTATTTATTAAAAGATGAAATGTTTTAACAATGATATCGAAGTTTTACAACCCTTCTGTAATGAATATATCCGTCCCTTAGAACCTTTTGATTCTTTGAAGTCTAACCTGAATACAGTCGATATATTTTACATTTGTGCTATGATGAAACTCACTCTGACACCCCTTCTGAAGGCTTCTGCCAATGCTGATGAGTGAATCTGAGCATTCCATCTTTCAACGAGGATAGTTTTTCTGTTCTAAGAAAAGGGACCAGTGAACAGTTTTGCATTTGCTTCCAATACTGTATATCCTGCAGTCTTGTTTGTACTTCTTCCTCACTTTCTTAATGTCATAATGCTCCTCCGATTAGTACTACTAGTTGGATGTCACACTATAAGTGCATTAAGTTATCAGTATTCTTATGATATATTTTGGTAGAAAATGTAAGATATCTGTCCTGATACCTTGATCCATGTACATCATTTGATGTGTTACTCTCTTTATTTGACCTTATGCTATATTTCTTCTGAGTGCATCAGTTGGCTGGGCAGAGGGACCATTACGGTTACAGTGATTAAGTTTACTCTCTTCTTCCCTGGCCGCCATCTTTTGCACTCAGAATATTGCTACAAAAATCTGTATTTTGTAACTACCATGATTATATTGTTTATTGTTATATTTCTTGAAAGTGCCGAATAAGTAATGAATAGATAAAATAAATCACCTTTGTACAGGTTGCTGACTGTCCTGTCAGACAGGAAGCGGGATGAGAACAATAAACAGAAGGTGGAGGACGCCAACGTGATCTGCCGCAAATTGGCAACCATGCATCCTTTAGTCTTCTTCAGGTAAGTTTGATGCTTATTTGAAGCAGAGATTGCAAGATGGCTAACATGGTTTTATGATCACAAAGGGGAATTGGTGGGGGAAATCTTAAGATGCTGAAACTGTTTTACATCAGTCATACCTCCAAACTCCAAGGCAACCGATTTCTGGCCCTTTGGGTAAAATGATCTTTAGTTTGGTCCGTTGTTGGTCTGGTGTCAGCCTTGTTTGTGTGACTGAGGTCTGGTACCTTTTTTCCTGTTATATAATGTATGCTGCTACAACACCGGTCAGTACCTACATCCTACAAAAGAGCTCCTGCAGTCAGACATGGTTGCAGATGCTCTGGTTCAACGATCATCAAGTGAAAGGTATAGATAGACCAGTTTTGGAAACGCCTCCCTCTCAAAAAATAAAATGGAAGCTCTTATTACCAATCATGTGAAAGAATATGTTTTGACTAATACGTGACGATACAAATTTTCCCAGGAAACTGCTACTAATTGATTTATCCCGTAGTCCCATATACTTCTTTCTGTGTACAGTGCTTGTAACTTTACCAAGACTGGGCCAAATTTCATTTTGATGATTCCAGAACCTTGCAGTACACGCGGATACTTATATGTTAGATGATCAAACCTTTTCTAAATGATTCCACAGCGTTTCTTTCACAATGCAATCGCATGACCAGAACTGTCTATACCTTTAAGCTATTTCACCTGTTGATTGAAATTAAGTTGATTTTGATTTCCAACTACATATCCATCTCACTCCAGACAATTGTCGCTGCTTGTGGTGCTGATGCGTGGCCGCACTCAGCTCAACTGGAGGGAGTTCCGTGGGAGCGGCCATCTTGGATTCTTCCACCACGTCGTGGGTCTTCTGAGTCTCCTGCAGCCTGGTCTATTCCAGGAAGATGGGAAAGCCGTCAACGGAATCATGGAGGCGTTCTTTACCGTCTTGCAGGTTGGTTTCAGGAGAATTGTGAAGATTGATTTGATATGGAATAAACAGGCCTGATAATTACCAGATATAAATCGGTTTCCAGATTTTTTCCAGAATTTTTTTTTCTTCCAGATTTTACCCCTATTTTCCTGTTTTTTCCCTCAGTCATAACATCTAGTATAAGAACTAAATTTACATGTAGGACATTGTAACTTTACCCTTGCTTGGTGGATTTAAGATTAGATAAACTGAAATCAATTTTGCATACCTGGGGGGGGGGGGTGTTTTACTAAGATCCTAAGTTGAACCAGGCCTGATAAAATCCAGACTTTTTTTTTTTTTTTTTTTTTTTAACAATTTTTTTTTCCTTCCCTGTTTTATCTTGATTTTGCCGATTCTCCCCTTATTTTCTCTATTCTTCCCTATTTTTTTTCCCAATTTTTTCCCCAATTTTCTTACTCAAAAGGGGGGAATGTTGTCAGATGCCATTTTTCCCAGCGTATCCTCTTCTTTTTTTACCCAAGGGGGGGCGTGGTTGAGGGGAAAACAAAAAAAAATTTTTTTTTTTTAGTGCTCACTATCACCCCTGGTTGAACTTATCTTTAAGTTGGACTTAACAATTATGGCAAGCCATTAGCATATTTGAAAATATTTTGTAAAACTTATTATTATCATGTGAGATTTCATTTTCTTGATGTGGAATTTATAAAAAAAGTCTTAAATAGTTCAATTTTTGCTTTTGAATATATTACATTATAAGGCTACAAATGGCTCTCCATAATTTTTAAGTCCAACTTGAAGATAACTTCCACTTAGGATCTTTGTGAAACAGCCCCCTGATGACCCAGGATTTTTTTAGTGCATCTTGGGGGCTTCTAATGCCTCAGCTACAGAGGAAGTAACGCAGTGTGCAGTCAGATAATGATAATATGACTCGTATTGTGTTCTTCTCGCCCTACAGCGTTACGGTTCCTCCAAGAAGCCGATCGAGAGTCTGGTGACAAGATTTGTGACCCTGCTCTACCAGTACAGCAGTAGCAACCCCTCCCAGGCAAGATCCGTGCTGCAGCAAAACAGTGCAACTCTGAAGTGAGTAGAAATCACCTCTGTGCTATACAACAAGTCTGGGTTCTATGGCAATAAGCCAGTTCACGGTTGCAGTCTGAGCATGAGCTCAAATACACGGAGAGGAAATACTGGATACGTGCTCATGAAAGTGATGTAATCATTATTCATTCGTGCACAAGCAGTGCACTCCATGATACACAGGTGGAAGTATTCTTTGAAAATGGGAAACAAAGGCTATTTCAAAGTGTACAAAGTGGGACCTCTTTATGTTTTGAAGATTTTTGGATATTCGGGGTCATTGCAGGCATGTGCAAATGTGAACTGGTCTATTGGTTCGGGGTCAATTTCCAGCAGGAGTCAAATTTCTAACTTTAAACTGGGATAAAATGCTGTACCTCGCCCTTACCCTGAATGTAACCTATGAACCAATTGCAACCATAAACTTAACATTATATCTTTGACTACATAATGCCCAGAGAAAATGTCCGGTCACCCTATTTTGATATAGCCCAAAGATGATGGAAAGTTTCAAAAAGGGGTATTGCTGCCTGGACATTATTTTATCAGGCCATTGATATTAATCCCAGGAGCTGATCCTATGTCTCTTGGCAAGCCTTTATTCTACGTTTGCCACCCTTTACCCAGGTGTAGTTCATGGAAGTTATAGACTGTGACTGGCATAGAGGAAATTACAAGGCGAGTAACACAGACCTGCCAACCAGTACGGTTTAGTCATATTTCGTACGATTTTTAGAAGCAAATACGACAGTACGATTTTCCTCAATAAGATACAATTTTTTTTTTTTATTTAAAAAAAATTGTGTGTGTGTGTTTCATTTTCAATGGCAAAATGCCCATTCTATCCTGTCAAGTATCCTACAAGCATCTCACATCGACAAATTCTTCCTGTATGTAGGAACTGTAAGAGGCATTGATCCGTGTAACAGTCCATGTTTATTTTTAAGAATACAACTTTTGTCAGTAAAAAACAACTTTTTGGATTAAAGAATACAGTTTTTGAATTCCAGAGGTTGGCAGGTCTGGTAACTTGCATTTCAGTTCATACAGAAATTTTGCAATATCTCCATTTTATTGTCAAGTTCCTTCTTTGTGTTTTTTAGCGCCATGGCCCAGAATCACCCCAACAACACCCAACTGAAATCCATCCTAGCCAGTACCTCCCTCTCCTCATCCTCCAAGGACCAATCAGAGGGCAGCGTCCTCATGGCCGGCGATGACCCCGCCCCCAGCGAGCAGCTCCCATTCATTGAGGGCATCCCTGGGGTGGGTAACAGGGAGGAGACCTACTCCCCTACCCCAGGGGCCAAGGGGGAGGGAGAGGAGAGCGTATGGACACCAGAGTTCATCAGGAAGATGTCCGCCAAGCTGCTGACACCCAATAACATGGATGGTAAGAGATGACTTTGATGAATTAATGTGTTATTACTGCCAGGTCCATGATTATAATATTGACTGGCCTTGAGGGAGATACTAGGAAATATTGCCCTTTCTAAAATCATATTGACCAAGTAAGGGCAATATATCCTTGTATCTCCCAAAAGATAAGCCGGTCAGTGTTATAGTTATTACCTATCCCTTTGTGAATCAGAAAATCGTGTGAAAGCCCTCTTAGGCTGGCCGTCTTTTAAGGGGAGATGCCATTCTATTTTATAAAGAAATAGTTCATATGATTCTAGCTTGCTTTAACAACAAAATATCATTTGATTAAAGCTTTACATCACTAAAAGTGGTGTAGTACTTGTATATCATCATTGGCTTCAAAATCATAAAGGAACATTTCCTCAAATTTGACGTGACTTCCATTTCAGTGCGCTTGCTTCTCCTCATGTGATGTAGAATTTCTTGCAAATTTGGAAACACCAACAGTTTATCTGCTAGCCGTTTGGAACATACAATATATTGAAGATGTGTTTATTATGAGCATGATTTCTTTTACATTTTGAATGCGTCCTATTCATTTGATTGACAGATGTGATTGATGCCTTGAATGAAATAGAAGGTGCTTCTTTCAGGAAACATGAAATGTTACACCACTTTGCGGTAAGTAGACATGGCTTAGATTTCTGCAGGTACAATATAACCTTTTTTTGTGCGACAAAAATTGTATCCACCTAGTTGGTGATACATGACATATGTGGTGAGAGAAATTTATTTTCCGATTACTGTATGTATCTTTTGCCCTATATTCTATTTTATTATTCCTTATCTCATTTCTAGAGATAAAAGTTTCAGCCCTGTTCTTTTTTTGATTAGGTTAATTTACTTGTGATCAGATCTAAACACCAAATTCCCAATAATATGTACGAATTTAATGTGGAGAACAATATTACCTTCAAAGAAATTTGGAGAAATTGAAATTAAGATTTATTATCTATTCAGAAATTTGTTTTTCTCTGGTGAAAGTCTAAAAAGCAATTACCCTCCCTCCCCCCCCCCCAAAAAAAATGATACTGGTAATCATAATCATAGACAATTAACAGTAACGGTAAAATACAGTCATATAGCCTTATTTGGGTAGGTATGGCATATCTATTCCTGGGGCCTGTTTCATAAAACTTTTGTCTATAACAAATGCTAAATTTCTATGACAAATTTGCTCTCAGCCAATCAGATGCCTTGATTTCAGTAGCTTATAACAGTAGCTTGTAACTTGTTATTGATATCAAGTTTTATGCAACAGGGTCCTGATTCTTTGTATGTAATGTGAATTCACAGACCGAGTTTGCGAGCCTGATGACGTCCTCTAACACTGAGTGCAGAGCCATGGCCTTCTGTCTCACCATACGCTACCTCCGATACAACCCATGGTAGGTAGAGACAACAGTCTCTAACATCTCAAAAGGCTGTATTAGGTCCTTTTTATCTTTTTGTCCGAGTATCCTCGAAATTCCAAACGTAAATGTAATTTCATGTGCATAGTATCATGGAATATGATAGTCTTTCAACTTCTCCCCAAGGGATTCCTGGAAATGCAGATGCTATGATGAAACTCACTCTGACACCCCTTCTGAAGTCCTATCACAATGTTGATGAGTGAATTCTGAGCATACTCTAGTCTAAAAGATAAACTTGAGTTCTGGTCATGCGATGCATTGTGAAAGAAACGGTGTGGAATCGATCAGCAAAAGTTGATCATGTAGCATATAAGTATTGGTGTGTGCTGCAAGGTTCTGGAGTGATCAAAGTGAAAAGAAATTTGGACCAGTCTTGGTACAGTAACAATCACTGTACACAGAAAGATGTTTATGGGACTCACTAGACAAACATGTGGCATAAAAATCAGGCCTCGTTTTTAAGCTGTTACTTGTCATATTTGGAATATGGAGGCATTTGAAGAGCCATGCTTTTCAGGGAACATTTTTTCTCTGATGTTCTTCCACACTTGCATACCAAATAACAATGAAAACGCTCACAAATTATTTGTCACCTCTCCCCAGAACTCAACCTTCTCTTTAAATGAATTGACGTAAGGATTTGTTGTGAATTTTTGTTACCAATCTCTTATCTGTCACAAAACTTAGTGCTTTTGAATATTTCCATGTTGATTTGAGTTATCTTAAAGCCACACTGTTCTGCTTGTAGCTACTTGCTCCCTCTATATAGAAAACAATGCCTAATCGGTGACCATTGGTCCCCCATGAACCCCTTGTTTCTTATGTTATTTGAGAGCTGAGTTGATGAGATAACCACCTGTGCAGTGACCTTGCAGGGTGCTCTAATCCCACCTATAAACTAGTACAGATAAGCTTTAATTGGATTCTTCTCTTCCGATTGCCTTTTTCCTCCAATTGTAGTTGTGGGGAGAAATGTTTGCCATCATACCTCGATGCCCTTGCCTCTGATGATGGCTGCGTTGTCCAGACTGCCCTCAAATACCTTGCTGACTTCACTGCACTGTGCCAAGGTAGGTCCATGTACTCAAGGAATCCATGTAGGTCAATGGTTTTAAAGAGATCCGGTAACCTTGTCTCAGATTCTGAAACAATCCTGGATTTAGCTCATGCTGCAATGATAATTATAAACCTTTAGGTCAGTCAGGAACCCCATGACTTTTACAAGCCAATCGCCTGTCTGATTATCAAGATATTTATGCTTGGAAATCTAAAACCGAATTTTGCGTTTGCCAAACGGTTTTCATAACACTACATACGTCACAAGAGTTACCCATTCATGTTTGATTGATAGCACCTTCAATCAAATATTCATAACTTTCTTATTTCCAATCAGTATTTGCTCAAACTTTCACCAACATTTTTCTCTCATTTTCCTGCTTCTATTAAAACCAACTTATATCAGGGTGGACGTCCAATATACATCACCCCCCCCCCAAAAAAAAAAAACATTTTGCAAATCTTTTCTTCTTCTTCTTCTCTTGCAGAACAAGCAACAACCATCCTGCAGCAAGCTTTCTTAGTTGGAGTGCACCATAAGATTGACACCGTACCGCCTATTGCAGAGACCCTACAACTACTCTCTATGGACTCGACACCTACACAGAGTGCATCATAGACAAAGACAGAACAATTAGAAAGTATGTTTGTGTTGTTGAAGCTCACTTTCTTGATAGGAGTGCAACATGGGGTTGATACTAAACCACCTATTGCAGAGACATTACAGCTGATTTCTATGGTTTCTAAACCTACTCAAAGCGCATCATAGATAGAGGAAGAACATTGAAATATATTTTGAGCTAGCTTTTTGTATGGTTGGAATGCACCAGAAAACTGTACCACCTATTGCAGAGACTTCACAGCTGCTCTCTACAGACTCCACGCCATGTAAAAGCGCATCACAGACAAAGAACAATGGATTATTAATCCAACAGAGAGCTTTCTTGTTTTGAGTACACCACAAGATTGTACCACAGGCAACCGTAGACTGTACCTCCTATTGCAGACACCTTACAGGTGCTCCCTATGGACTCGACACCTACACAGAGTACATCATAGGAAAAGAAAGAACTATGAAATACAGTCAAACCTACAAAGACCACACTTTTTGTTACCCTTTCGGTGGTCTTTATAGACAGGTTTCACTGTACATGGAAGTCCTGGTCCTATGTGCCATAACCTGTATGATAGCAGGTCCAGATCACTCAGAGGTTTTGATACCTATACTATAATAATATCTTCTCTCCCTAAGGACTTGATGCAATTACCGCAGGTGTGTGATGGGTAAATAGATGAAATCAGGATTCTTGTTTATTAATTTTTATATTGAACAATCACAAGTGACAATTTGAATAATCACCAATGATGGTACTCTCAAAGTACAGTCAAACCTGTCTATAGCGACCGCCCTAAGGAAACCCAAAAAGTGGTTTTTGTAGACAGGTTCCTTTTAGTACATGTTTTAATGAGAAACCATTTTCAGGGGGGGGGGGAATGTGGTCTTTGTAGACAGGTGGTCGCTAAAGCAGGCTTGACTGTATCAACATTGTGATGCTGTATTTGCCATCTATGGACTCTACATTTACTACATTAGTGCGTAGTACATTGTATATAGTAGAATAATAAACCTTGGCTTCTTGTCTATCTATTCCCTTATTCTATAAATTTCATTTACCCGGTAAACAAAAGCAAATGTTGTGATGCGCAAACAAGTTGACTCTCTGAGGTTCTACAACTAGCCAAAACATGCGACAAGTGAAAACTGCTCATAACTGTCCTCTAATTGTCCTCTTGGATGATTTCAGTGTGAGTCAAACACGATCACAGATATTTCCGAAAATGAACTTACGGGCAATTACAACACCCTCTTGTGTGTCCCATGTGTAGATTATGTAATACATGATTGTCGTGTTTGCACATTTCAATAGGTGACGCACATGGCTATTAAACAATCTCAAAAGTAGTGGTTATCATCTTGTTATTTTCATAGGTAGGAAACAGCAATGGTTATTATGCTATTTTTACGTCATATCTAGTGATGCCTCGTATTGATGTTAACAACATCATATTTGAACATTTGAAATAAAGGTGGAGTTGTCTTCTCTCGTTCTGGTTTGTATTTATAGAATGCCATTTTCTTTACATACTCACAATATCCTATGTGATGTTACCTGAAGTTATCTTCAGTATTCCATATTATTTACATAATGACTGTTTCTTTTCACAGAAAATCTACATTACATGCATGTGATTAAATCGTTTGATCAAAAAATGTGTAATGTTAAAAAGATTATGGACAGTTTAAATAGACTGTAGTGTTATAAAAACAGTTAGGAAAATGGAAAATGAACTTTCGATTTCCAATCATATATGTATATCTCGATAATTAGACAGGCGATCGGCTTGTAAAAGTCATCGGATTCCTGACTGACCTAAAGGTTTATAATCATGATTACAGCATGAGCTAAATCCAGGATTTTGTTTCAGAATCTGAGGCAATGTTACTGAGCCACTTTAAACATATTTATGACCTTCACCCAGTAAATAATAAAGATCGATTGATCGATCAGTTATTGACCAGCAATGGCCTGGTGGTAGAGTAGCTGCTAGGCAAGCAGTGTACATCAGATGGCAGGTTCAAATCCCGCTGGTTCCACGATTTTTCTGACTCATTTTCAATTACAGATCGATCAAGCTATCTTTATTTACTGGGTGTAAGCCACAAATATGTGTAAACAAAACTATCATTATATAACAGGTAATTTTCCAATCCCACTTCTTTGTCCTGTTGTTTGTTTGTTCTATCCTACAGGTTTACTTGTTCATTTCCTATTATGTTGTATATACTGTCATGTGAAATGTCTTCACAGTTCTTGTACAGATTTCTTTAATATTAATTTTTCAGTTCATACTTGAATAAAGTGGACCTGTGCACTGTATATATTATTTTCAGAGAATATGCTTTTGTAATAAAAGAAACTAGAATTTATTCAACGGAATGTGTGTCTCCTTGTTTTGGGGAATGTGAGTGTCTTTTTTTTAAATATCCAGCACAAAAAGACTTTCTAGACTCTCAACGCCCCAACAAAAACATCTTCTCCTCATACTTTGGTGACCATTTCATAATCATTACACATTAAAATCATGGTTCTAGGACGCCTAACCCCTGGACATCAATCCCCCCGGATACCCCACCCCCCCCCCCTCCCAGTCAACTACCCCCTAAGGCAACCATCCTCTAGGACAACTATCCTAGAGGTAGTTGTCCCAGGGGCTAGTCGTCCTAGAGGGTGGTTGCCCTAGGGGGTAGTTGTCCTAGAAGGTAATTGACTAGGGGTGGATGTCCAGGGGGTAGGTGTCCGGATATGTAAAATCACAGCACAGCATTTAGGATATTAACCAATCAACATCTTCCTTCAAGAAACTATCACCTTAAATTTGATGCTAATGGTAACAAATGTTATACCAGTACATATTATATAATTCCCTAACTAAGCTGGAGGGGTACTGAATATTGATTCTTGCTAATTTTATAGTTTGTGAGAACAAAAATTGTCCATTAAAATGAGAAGTGAAAATAACATAATTGCCAAAACACTCCAAATTCACTTTACATATACTGGGTATTTATTTACAAAATATAAAAACTGTAACACACTGTTTTTTCGGTCTTGTCATTCTTGGTTCTGTCATTTTATTCCTTGGAATCAAACAAAAGTTTATTAAAGAATAAATAGAAGTTACTAATACTAAGCATTTTACTATGGTAGACAGAATTTTTTAAATGCTAACATTTGTCACCAAAATTATCCCTGCGTTGTTAATAATAAAACATGACTTGGGCTTTTTCTCTTTCTACTTTTGTACACTTTTTATTTGTTTACAGTATCTATATATTTGTTTAAACTATTACTTCCTTTGTAGTAATGTTAAAACAAAATTATATGAATCAATTTCAATTATCGCCTATCACCGGAAGAGTTATTTTTAAGGTATAATTTGAACATCGGTAAAACAAAATAATACTGAAACTGGGTACCTCAGCCTATATCCGTATCTCTTGTAAATACATCTCACCACAATGACCTTTTTGAAAGTCTCGTTTCCTCTTTCTACTCGAGTAGAACTGGGTCCCTTTACCCCTTTCCCATTTTCAGATTCTTGCGCTATTGTGGCCATCGAAGCTTTGCTTTATAATGCTAAACAAAGAATAGATGATTATGACGTCAGATAAAACGTTTGACATCTCTGTATTAACGGTGGCAAATCTCCGCAATCTACGCAAGAACCCCGGAGATAGAGATTGATGTTCTATAGTTTTAGGATACAGAAACATTCCTTGGCAATAATTCCCTTTCAGCCCTACTCTAAGAAGATTATCCAGCATTGTTGAAAAAGTCTTTACCGGCCTGACGTCATCTTCTAAGATTTAATTGTCTCTTCCGTATAACTAATTGGACCTACATCGAGAATTAGGTTTATTAAGGACCATGGCAGTGGTTCAGCATGGGTCCAGCCATTATTATTGTTATTATTATTATTATTTGGGGCATTTAATGTCTTTTTAGGTTGATGAGTGTCATCAAATGAGGAGTGTGGTAGGGGATCGTATAATCAAAAATTCACGTAATTGCATTCCCCATTATTTCCTTTTATCTCTTCTCGCCCTGCTATGTATATGCCTATATTTCGATGGTCAATATGGTACATTATGCCCCCGCCCTGTGGCGCCTCTACAGTGTTAAAGCACAAATATTTAAAAAGATAATCTCGTTCTGTTATTTCTTTGAGGTCAATATAGGACATGCGAGTAATACAGGGGATTATAATTGAAAATGGGCCTACTTTCTGCCCCTACAAAATTCAATTGTCTTTTTTAATATATTTTGTAGAAGCCCTTGAGATAATATTACGAGCTAGTTTAATTTAGTATTTTTGTTTATAATTCGGAAAGACCCATGAAGGCATGATCAATCTCAGAGGAGTGCGCGAGAGGTGCGGATTGACCACGCCCTTGCAACTGATAAGACTAGAGGGGCAATATCTAATATCTTCCTGTGTATAATCTCATGCATTGGGGAGATGCAAGATCCTATCTATAAATGGAGTTTTACAAAAGCGACGGCAAAAATACACCCATGTGGTTAACAAACTTGACATGTCCTTAAACCTTTTGAAAATCAACATAAACAAATCGATCTCATGCAGAACGCAGCCCCGCAATGTCTGGTACCGCCTACCAACGTGGTGCAGTGCACAGGTGCACTCAGCGCAGTCAAATGTCAAACGGCTGCTCAACTCCGTTCGCGACGTACGCTAAGTAAAGTACTGTAGAGACGCCTACAATTTATTGGTGTACGGAGTGCAGGTACGCTTCAGACATCAGACCACCTTCATCATCATCATCTTCGTGTGTCGACATCGATGATAGACATTAGATCTTGCAGTCGGAATATCTCTTTCCGCAGTTTACAAACCAGTTATATGTACGTAAACGCTGAGTCGAAGCCGCTTCCAAGCAACGACAAGCGATACCATTTGATTTGGAGGCTGTACACCGGTTTGATTTTGAAGTCATCTCGTCTCGGCTCCCATATCGCCGAAGGTTACATTTTTTCTACGCCAAACTGCGGCACTTCCAGCAGGCCTAATCATACATTTGGCCCGGTGACCTTTTCCATCGGTGCCAGACAATGAAGGATTCTACTCCTACCGGGAAGCCATTGAATTGAATTTGGAGAGTGGGGGAGGATCGACTAACAATAGCATCCTATTAATTCGCACTAGAATCATCTCACCAACGACGTCACATCACGTTTACAAAAGGAGATTAAACCCGCCCTAATTAAATTGAAAGGGAGGGCTTCCTAAGTTCTAGCTGGCTGGTTGGTGTGATCTTGTTGGCAAGGACCACCATACCCGGATCCACTCTTTATTTTATCTACTTCCCGATGGTGGGTGCCTGCAAAAGTGAAGAAGGGGAAGTCTACACTACAATTCATGAGGTCTTGAATAATACAACATCGTGTGTTGCAGATATTTGAAGTCGAGACGGATCCTCAAGTTTCAAGCTTTACATTAGATGAAATGTGAAAGTTTCACAGTCACACCATCATTAGTTATTGTATTCCTTGGAAACTGAGTGAAACTAAAAGCAACAAGCAAGGTGATATCCACAGTGCTCATGTTTTAGATTCATTATGATTTGAAATATTTGTGTGATCTTCGTCATGATTTTAACTAAAATTGAATTGATGTGACTGAGGTCAGGAAATGACAAAGCTAAATTGATCATAATCATTGTCAAATGGTGAACTATTCCCAAGATGGCCCACATATTTGGGAGTCTTCTCGCAAACGGATACCATGTCGTCATTCTAGGCTTGGATTCGTCTGGTAAAACTTCAGTTCTCTACCGACTCAAACTGGACGAATATGTGAACACCGTCCCAACCATCAGCTTCAACACCGAAAAGATCAAATGTAAAAAAGGGTCGGCCAAAGGCTCCACGTTCAAGTTCTGGGATGCGGGAGGAGCGGAGAAGCTACGTCCTCTATGGAAATCCTACACCCGAGCAGCCGATGCGATTGTGTATGTTGTTGACAGCACGGAAAAGGAGCGTTTTGATGAAGCCAAGTTTGAATTGTTCAAAGTGGCACAGCGTCCGGAAACGAAAGGCGTTCCCATTATGTTGATCGCGAACAAGCAGGACCTGAGGCAAGCGGTTGGTGTATCGACCATCGAAGAAGCATTGAC